ATAATTACACCTATCTCTAAATAATATAACTAGGTACAAATGAATTATACCTATCTTCAATTCAGTTAAAGATAGGTTCAATTGAATTATACCTATCTCTAATTCATTTGAAGATAGGTATAATTGATTTAAAGATAGGTACAATTGATTTGAAGATAGGTTTGATTAAGACATATCCACAAAGGATTTGAAGACAGGTACAATTCAATTAAACCTATGTTTAATTCGTTTTCTGTTGTTGAAAATAACGTACGAGACAATATTGAACATGGAGGGAAACGCAAAGAACCTACAGAGCGACGACAACGAGGATGGAAGGAGAAATAAAGGTAAATTACTTATTAAATACACATGTATATCATGTATGTGTATCTTGTATGGCAGCCGGATGAGGATTCTGATAAACTTTCGCGCCAAGTGTGGAGTACCGGAAATGACGTATGATAAGTGGATTAGTTATTATTGCCAATTTCTTAGTAATTAAAGATAGGTTCCATTCAATTGTACCTATCTTTAAATCAATTATACCTACCTTCAATTCATTGCATTTGTACCTGTCTTTAAATCAATTGTACCTATCTTCAAATGAATTAAAGATATGTATAATTGAATTGTACCTATCTCTTATTCATTTGAAGATAGGTACAATTATTTGAAGATAGGTACAAATATTTGAATATATGTTAATTTGGCGTTCTATAATTTTGAAATTAAAAGAATTCTCAGAAGTTTAATCATTAATTGGATTGATTGTTTTAGTAAAGGAAGGGAAGGGATAAGATTAAAAATGAAGTTTGTTCCGTTGCCAAATGAAAGCAAGCTGGGGAAGAGATGTGTCCTTAGTTGAGTAATTTGTTTGTTATGAAAGACCGCCAAGTTACAGCTAGAAAAACATAACACTTAACAATAATATAATGATTTAATCCCTAAAATATCGGTTATTTTAGACTTTAAACCTATGCATCAAGCATGATCAAAAGAAGACGCCCATTCTATATCAATATCATTTGGATAAACGACGTTCATAAGAAAGAGGATTTTAAGTTGTGATGGCCACCATGCTCTTTCTGGGAAAGAATATCCTTGTCCACCGATCTTATTTCCAAGATTAGGTCATTTCTGACAAACGGACTGTTTTTGAACATTATAAAAAAAAAAATATCTTGCATGATAAGGAATATATAACACTCGGAAAAATATTTTAGCTTCCGTGAACAGAATGCTACGGAGCATGTCACGTGACTGTCTGGGCAGAAGGGTGGCAGATGTGCATTTAAATCGGAGCGGACTAGTGAAACGTAATTTTATTGTTTTATGGAGGTTATTCAATTAGTTAAACTTTTTGATCACCCCTGAAAAGAAACATGCTTGTTATTTTGTCCTTTGAGCGAAATGGAAGTGACGTAATTTGCATTGACAAACAAGTTGATGAGACAAGGATATCTACAGTCTCGTTTGAAGTCATCTTTTCGCAAGTTTTGTTTTTGTTTTTTGTTTTTTTTTGTTTGTTTTTTTTTTTTGTCGATACAATGCTTTTGTGAGGAAATACACCTCAATCACTGAGTCAAATGCTGATTGACATTTTTCATACTTATTGTTAGTTAATTCTTTACACATTGAATTATAATTATCTACAGATTTTTCCGTTTTTTTTCCAAAAATAGCTTTCGACCAAGTAAGGCCTTCCCATATGGAAAGTTTGAATTATGTCCCTATGAGAAAGATGAATGCACGGATGAATTCCATGCAATGATAACTTTTATTTTCACTTTTTAGGAGGTACAGTAAGATGAGGAACGATGACGGACACCAATAGGTTACGTACTGACCGACTCAGTACAGCGTAGTGTGTATTCTTTTGTTTTATTAATATAATCAGTAATTGAGGCGCATTTGAGATTATTTTCTACTTAACAACAGCCGTTCCTCTTTCTTTCAATTCAACAAAAAGACATGTTTAATCAATAGCAGCCTTATATATCTAGGAGCTTTCTAAAACCAAAGGCTTATCATCAATATTCAGCACTTGAAAATCCATAACTTTTTCCCGAACGGAAGGCATGGAAAAAATGAATCTAGCGGAAGAAATGAAAACAGATTATCCACTTAAAAATCTATAACACTTTTTCCAAAGAATAGAAATAAAAAGGGAAGAAATTCGGGAGTGATTTTTGTCTTGTTTCTGATTAAAAACAAAAACACGTGTTCAAAATGTATTTGTTTAAATATCGTTAATATAGACATAAAAACATTCTGATTGAACAACGCACAAGTACTCAGAAGTTGATTATTAAAAAGATGCTTGAGTTTCTACGTTTTTCTAAACCAGGTTTTACAACACTCTATTGGAATTCTCATGGGTACTTATTACGTCCCGTTATTAGCAAAACAATTTTTGTATTCATATGAAGCAGAATTTGTCAAAAGTTTTATACGTGAAAAGAAGAAAACATTTGCAGTGGCTTTCAACTCGACATATAGATATATCGTGCGACGAATTGTCAATTAACAATGGTTATTTGCATTCTTATGACGATACGATATAACCTAATGAGCTTGAAATAGAAGATACCACAGAATTGGACACATCTATGTCATATTTACTTTTTATTTTACTTGAAAAGGAGTTATAAATGGTAATCTAACAACCAAATTTTATGACACAAGTTGCTGAAACGACTTTCACTTTTCACAAAGTCATCCTTTCGTAAGTTCTAAGGTTGATACAAGACCCTGTCAGCATATACTAGTACAATTCATCATTAAGTTAAATGCTGACTGACGTTTTTCATACTAAATATTAGGCCTTTATACAAAATAAATTTCTACACAAGGTAAATTATTGACACAAGTTGCTGAAACAAGAATATCACCTGTACAAAGTCATCCTTTAAGTTCTCAGGTCGATACAAGACCCTGTCAGCATATACCAGTACAATTCATCATTAAGTTAAATGCTGACTGACGTTTTTCATACTAAATATTAGGCCTTTATACAAAATAAATTGTCGACCAATTTTTCCGTTATTTCCCGATCATAACAAGAAGCACAAGGTAGGTGTGACTAGATGAAACATTCAAAGTAAATTTGCTTATATGTCATATATTTAGGTGATAAAAGCATATTTTTCTCCTCATCACAATTGGCACCTGATTCCACCTCTGATGTGTTGCTCTGCTCAAAATTATAATTAATAGAACAATGAATTAAGTTATATTCCGAAATTTTATTGTTTTATGGACTTTTGAATATGATTTTTCAAACAAATAATGTTAAACGCTATCTCCATATATGGTATTTCATTTTTAAAAAGGATTTAAAAGATCATACATGAATCTGCCTTTCACTCTCGTAATTGTATAATTTTGGATAGCAACGGTAAACTTAGTTTGAAATCTAGCAAGGACTTTTGGAGGCTTGTGGGCGTATGGAAATATATCTCCTTTTCTGCAAATTACAATTATTGAGGAAAATAGAATTAAGTTTATATTTTCTGACAATTAAAGACTAAAAGAAATTTTTCGGAAGTTCCTTAAATCAAGTTTTAAAATACAGTGTATCTAAAATAAATTTGATTTTCTGGAAAAACTACAATCTTATTAACTTTTTCAAGCTTCCAATTATTTTTCAGCAAAAAAATCTTTTGAAACAGAAGAAGGCGTCAAATGATTGGTAACATTAATGTTTTATTCTTAATGTCAAGTAAAAAGATAATGACCTTGACCTGACCTTGCTTCTGAAATAAAACGGTCAAATTTGATCAAACTGCTACCTGTGATAATGTCGTTTTAAATCGACCTGCAAAAATTTCAAAGATAATTAATAAAAACAAGAAATAAGACAAGAATCCCTACTTACGACGTTTTTGCAGCTACAAACTATCATTCTAGTACTGCTGTATAATTGTGAAGTACTAGTTCTCCACCGAGAGCAAATAATGCTTTTTTTTTTAATTTTCACTCTCTTGATTTACGTGGGATATGGACAAAATATTTATAGTCTTGATATTACTGTAGTTTTTTTAAGTGCTAAAACAGAATCCATTAATGAGAAACCATCTTTCTTTACCGTAACTTCGCTGTTATAGTAGCATAGTAGTATTTCTTCATAATAAAAAAAGGATCACTAGAAAAGTAGTATGAAGTGGTTACTGAATGAATACTAAAATCCAAATTAACTGTACCCTAGGGACAACTATACTCGCTTTTAAATCGTTCAAATAAACATTTCCTTTTTATCAATATATATTTTATTTGAAACATAAAACTATCATTTTCTCACATGCAACATTAATTTTAAAGCGCCGTTAGTTATTCATAACATAGTATCAGGACTTATGTGATATGGCCCAATATTAATACAGTGATTTATTTTCATTGATGTTAAACTTCGCACTCTCATCTGCCTTTTACGCAAAGGAGGAAGACTATAATCGAACAGGTTTTTGAGCTACTAATACGTTTAAATTGTTTGCTATTTAACGCCCCTCTCGAGATTTTTTCACTCATACACTTGTTTATGGAAAACTTATCATGAGAATGCCATAAACAATATATCTGGCACATAAAAATCATATATACAAACTACATATACTTATCTCCAATTTAAATAAGTCATTTTATTTTGATCAGTGACGAAAACGTGTAATTAGTAGCAAGTAATACCGGTATTTTGAATTAAAAACACGATGTGTATTTTCATTTTATTTAGATCAGAGATAAATAATGAAAGCATGAAATTATTAAATAAGATTTTAAATTTGAAAAAAAACACTATGGGTATTTTCCAGCGCAAATTGTCGGAAGTTTCGTTACTAAAAATGGGACCCTGTACTTCAAATAAAGTGTTTTTCAAGTGTTTGGCAGTCCCCATATCGGATAGCGATTTGACAAGGGACCTCCTCAGCGCATGCCAGTGGCCGTGCACCTATCAGCCAATCACAAGCCTTGGTAGAAACAGTTTCCGGTTAAAACTTAAACTATGATCAATGACGCCAAAATAAAAATTCACAACTTCGATTTAATTTCATATCATCAATTTACTAAAAGTTTAGCAATATTGTTTTATTAAAGTAATAATAATCATTCGACAAACGTGACAACCATAAACATTTTAATTATGTATTGAACTTCAAAGAAAACAGCAATACAACAAAGGAATAATGTACATGCAATAACCTGGAATTTTTTTTAATCCTCAGTGGATTCATTAATAAATTATGGAAAGTAATCAAGGATGCCATTAACAACTTAAAATACCAGTTTTACTTGATTATAACTTCATCATTACAATATGTAAAAATTGCCAATTTATAATTCGATCAATTTGGCAAATATATTATATATTTACATTATAATATGTAAATATACATTCTAAAAGTATATAAGAATATAATGTACTTACTTATAGTCCCCCCAAAACTCTTTAATTTCAATAAATTGCATTACACATTCTAGTCCATGTATTAGCTCAAACTTTGAACCCTGGAGTCTTAAAAACAGCAACATCAAACTTAATTTCCAAGGGAATTTCAATCTGAAGAAATAGCTGTTGCATGTAAGCACTCAATGAATTCGTAGAACTGAACAATAGATTTGTTTTCAATTGTATACGTATACACAAAAATAAACGTATGATTCCTATATAAAATCGAATTCATAAACCAACATCATATATGGCACATTGCAAAAATTGGACAGAAAAATTGATGAACGAGGAGTGTATTGTAAGGGAGCAAACAGAAAACTTCTATCGAGTAATTTTGTTTGCAAAGAATTAAGATATTAACCAGTACTCGATCAGCGAAATTGCACTTTAAAATGTCATGGATACTAGTCTAGTAACTAGACGCAGAAAAAATATAATCTAAATCAAATACAGTATGATATAAGTACATCATATGTATAGACTTGAAAATTAGGTAATGATTTAATGAAATTAATAAATATAAATGAACCCTAGTAAAAATCCTAACGAATGACAATGATCTTTTAAAAAAAAAAAAATAGCATTCATTAGTAGTGATATAAAATGTAAATATAACTTGTACTTCTTGTGTGTGCATTTCTTATATTTTTCCTATCTTTCAACAGGTTATTGGGAGTGAATAGGATACAATAAAAAAAAAATATTTGGCTTCTTCAATTTGATTTGAAATCAACGTTGTGATAAATCTATCAATACATCAATCAATGTCATGTAATACAAACACTTATCAGATCAAGATGCATGTATCAAACGCCACACGCCATCTTTGTCTGATCTTGAGAACAAAATATGTGCACAATGCCGAAGCCCTCAAGTTATCGCATCTTAAATCAAACATATGTATAAACATTACATAAATTCTGCAATTGGGTGAGACCCATGGACTGTCAGAGTTTTCAAAGCACTTTTGTACAAGCATTAAAACCACATATGATTCAGCAACATAAACTGATAGAAACAAATTACAATTGCTTTCATTTCTTTTCAGTTGTAACAATCAACGGAGCTACCTTTCTCTCTCCCTTTTACATGTTCTAAAGACTCAATAACTGTAATGCGTTTCTTCTATTATTTGTTTCAAAAATCTGTAATTTGTTTATTCGTCGGACATGGGTATCTTTGTAAGGCACAACATCCTCAATAAATAAAAAAAGTTGTTCTTTTTTTAAATATAAACTTACAACATCTAATTCATTGAACATAATATTTAATAAAGCATGAACTTGGAATTGCAAAAATTGCAGAAAATTGATTCACAACGACGGAATACATTGAAGTATGTTCATTTGACAAATGTTTCCTCCTTTTATTCGGGTCATAACTTTCCGGAGGCCAGTGTAGCCCGCATGGAATATGGTAACTCATCCATTGCAAAATCCTGCTGGTTTCGAAGTAGCATTTGTTCTCTAAAGTAGGAAAAATTTATCAAATCAAAATAACCATCAAGTCTCAACCAGAAGTCTCTGTCGAGACTGTAGCTCTATACTGCTTTGTATATATAACAAAGGAAGAGAAAAGTAGAAATTGGAATTGAAACTTTGCAACAGCAATAAATATAACTAGGATCCTTGATTTAGTCTCTTTTCGTGGAAAAATTGCAATCACACTTAAACTGTAGGAATAAGAGCCTTTTAAATGAAATTTCACAGAAAATTTCGATCATTAATTACAAACATCGTTCATCAAAATAAAAAAAATCGATAAACAGAATTCTGTACACCTTAGTGTAGTGTACTTGTGTGTCAAGTTACATTGAAATCAGACCAAAACTGAAAGAAAAGTTGAGTTTTGAATGTATTTCAAAGAAATTTCTATTTTTAGTAACCACGGCAACCCCGTTCATCAAAAGTCGATAAAGAATTGTCTATCTTAGCATTTTGAAAGTATTTTTTAACAAGAGGCCCACGGGCCTTATAGGTCACATGAGTATCATTTATAACAACTTTCCAACAATTGAATTGGTTCGCGTTTTAAACCAAAGCCCACGAAATTCACAATTTTAAAAGATGCACCATTGCTTATCATAATTATGCATTTCACTTGCTTACTTTGGTTACTTAATATATACCCAAAGTAACAAAGATGATTTCCACTTTATAACCAGTTGTGCACCCAACCCCACAGGAAACACTGACCCTGGGGCCACAATTTCAAAATTTTGGAAATTTTATATAAATTTTATTTCATCATAAATGGCTGATTAATACCAAAGAGCAGATTTCAAAGCATTAATTTATTTTCAGACTATGTACCCCTCCCAAACCCTAAGTACCCCTGACCAAGGGGTCCTGAAATTAACCAGTTTGGAAGAGGCACCTTACATCATTATTAATATGATTTTTAGATAATTGGCATAATACCCAGGAGCAAAGGAAAAGTTTTTCAAAGAATAAATGCATTTTCACTATATAATCATTGAAGAGCCCATCTCTCACACCAAAATCCCTGACCCAAGAGCCCTGAAATTCACAAATCTGGAAGAGGCATCCAGACGCATCCTTCATCATCATAACTATGTACATAGTTCACTGGTATAAACCCAAGAGCAGAGGAGAAGATCTTAAAAGAATTAATTCATTTTCACTATATAATCAATAAAGCCCCTCCCTAACACCAGAACCCCTGTCCCTGGGGCCATGAAATTCACAATTCTGGAAGAGGCAGTCTTATTCAACAAACATACAGTGTATGTAACTATGTATTTGGTTAGTTTATTTCTTAAAACTTTTTAGGGTTTTGGCCCCACCCCTCAGACCCAAGGGGGGGGGGGGGGGGCAGGGACCATGAAATTCACAATTGTTGTTCCCCTTCACACAAAGATGCTTTATGTCAAAATTGATTGAAATTGGTTGAGTGGTTGAAGAGAAGCAGCTGAAAATGTTCAGATGTTAACGCACGACGACAGACGAAAACGGATAGCAATAACTCCTTTACTCAGGTGACCTAAAAATCTATTTAAGCAATCATGGCAACACTGTTCGTCGAAATCAAAAATTGATATACAGAATTACCAGGTGTGTACTTGTATCTTAATGTAGTCTACTCACAGGCACCTTAAGTGCGGATCCCCCCCCCTTCCAATGAAAAAAAAATATAAAAGCCTATACTGTACTTTCTCAACAATAAAAGATTTTCCCATCTATGATACCTATATGTCGTTCTATGAAAGCAGATTGTACTTTTTCTTACGTTTAGAGATTGGCCACGTACGGTATAATAAAGAAAATTTATTATAGCGTACGTGGCCAATCTCTAAACGTAACAAAAAGTACAATCTGCTTTCAATGGGAAAATCTTTTATTGTTGAGAAATTATAGGCTTTTATATTTTTTTTTTTCATTGGAGGGGGGTCCACACTTCAGCCTGTGGTCTACTTGTGTGCTAAGTTAAAATGAAATCAGACCAAAACTATACAAGAGGAATCGAATAGCATTTTTAAAAATTGTTTAAAGACAGAAAGGCAGACAGACGGACAACGGACACCTTACTATCACATAAGCTTTTCTGGTTCCTGACCAGTAGAGCTAAAAGACAATATCTTTAATATTTGTTCACTATATTTTACTTCAGAATGAGCGTACATGTATAAGAGTGATAATCGGCCATGCAGAGACTGTTCTAAGAACAGCTTCAGAATATTGAACTATGAAGTGTTTGGTTGGTTCTAAATTTCTTTAATTTCCCTATAAATGTATATGTACGTGGATATTCATTGGCATTCACTACAAGGGGGTAAGAGGAATAACTCCAAATTTAACTTGGACACTAATCTAGAAAAGCCATTCATGTAAAACACTAAATTATAGATTAAAATATTATTTGACCTTGAAGGTACATTTTAGCCTGAAATTCTTAAAATTTTGTTTCCAAATTTGGGCATATGGTTTCTTTTCAAATTACTTGTAATTATAATACTCTAAAGTCTAAATATATAACAAGAAAATAAAACATTGATCAATATATCCCTCATCTTTAAAATGAGTAAAACAATATAACAGCCCGTTATTAATTTTATTCAGTCTTTCGAGTGTCCTTGTAAGGGGGTTTGTCTGTCTGTGTGTTTGCAAGGGGTGGGGATGTTTACATCACTCATAGCAGAAGTAATCAATCAATCAAGAATATGGAATATTACAATGAGAATAAAATTAAAATTAAAAAAGTTTTTAAAAAAGCCAAGAAAACGTCAGATATTTCGGACTAGGAAATACCCCAGTATGAATGGGAAAACGTTATTTGAGCTATTTTTAAATAATGAACCCTATCATAAGTAAATAACTGACTCATATTTAACCGACGATTTGATTTAAATCCCAAAATCAATACATTAAACGCACAAGGTCACTTTGAAGAGTGGTGTAACTTTAGACAAGTTGTTACGTTTCAGATCAAGTCCTAACTAATTAGTGCAAAATTGTATTTTTTTTTTATTTGAAATACAGCGGAAAAGAATTTACAGTTACCATGAACATTTACTTTTTAAAAAAATATCTCGGACGTATAAGATTTATGTTTTACACATTTATCATCAGTGTAACTGGACTTGTGAGTTTTATCATGTATAAAAAAATATATGTAAAAGGTTTTAATCTATGCTTAAAAATAAAAAAAATGATAATTTTATCCAATAAAATATTACACAAGAACCATTTCAATATCCACAAAATATTTTTAGTGACGTGACGGAGTCGGTACGATTTCTTTATCCGGATCAGTACGGAATCGGTTTTCCCTATTAATCACAAAAAATACCAACATGGCGACTTTGCGTCCGTCACAACGGGCATAGACTGAATGTGTTTTTTGTGAAATAATACAGGTATAGAAGAACATTTTAACTGTAATATTACTTCTAATGAAGGAAATACTTTTTATGAATTTGAAATAAGAAGTTAACTTCACATGGAGTTAGCTTAGCTGCGCTTTACTACTTCTTTAAATGGCCGTTGTACAAGACAGTATTTATCATAGGCTTCAAATGATGAGCTCCGCTTTAGATAGCCGACCTACTAGTGCCTTAGCGAGGGGAGTACAAATTACAGAATTTAAGGAAACAAGAGTAAACCCAGATCCTGTAGTTTTAGAGGACAGTGATCTCTTATTAGAACAATATCTTTCCCCAGGCAAATTAAGACTCCTCACAGGAGTTGACAATTTAGAAGATATTCGTCGACTGGAACTTAAAGTTGATACAAAAGAAACAAGCTTGGGAAACTTTGGTTCCTTATTACCAAACCTCACTCAACTTAAACTGTCAAACAGCAACATCCCATGTATCCGAGACTTGGGCTCCAGTTTACGGAATGTCACAGTTTTATGGATGTCCAGATGTGGCCTAAACGAGTTGGATGGAATTTCATCTATGCTGAGTCTAAAAGAACTATATTTATCATATAATGAGATCTGTGATATAAGTGCTCTAAGCATGCTGGACTCTTTACAGATTTTAGATCTAGAAGGAAATAACATAGATGATACCCAACAAATTCATTACCTTGCTATGTGTTCAAATTTATCCAGTCTAACACTGGAAGGGAATCCTGTGTGTGTGTTACCTACACCAGACAGTTACGAGACAGATGATTATGACTACAGGTGGACAGTTAAGAAAATTATACCTCATCTCAGAATTTTAGATGAAGAACCATTAAATTCTGACCCATCTCCTTCAAAAAAGAAGAACATTTTCGATGATGACTGGGCATATTTGGAGGAATTACAGAAAGATGTAGGAATAGGAGGTTCAACAGAAAGTCTAGATTCTTCAGGTGAGTAACTTCTAGAGAAAATAAAAGTAGCTTTAAAAGTGTGTGTGACAAAGTCAGTTCATGATGTCACGTATCAGATTAAAATCCTGATTTCATTTCAATGCATTGAAGCTGTAAAATATTTGTAGAGGCAAGCCATACAGAAAGCACAGGACGACCTGGCACTGCCTCCCTTCGGCCGACCACTGGATACCGACCAGGTTCTGCTCTCCGACCTTCCTCTGGATTCCGACCTCTGACAGCATCACGGAGACCAGCAACAACTTCTGGAGGGAATGTAAGGCCACTCACCGCAGAAAAGCCCAACAAGGAAGAAAATGAGGAGAAAAATATAACAGAGGATGCCTCCAGTGAACTCACTATGGGAAAAGTTGTTTGTGGAAATCCATCCAAAGCTCTCTTCTCTCGCAGGAAAATAAATCCTGGTAGTGAACCCAAAACTGAATCAACAGGTCTAAAACTGTTCCCACAATTCCTACACAAGCCTGAGCACACCTATGACCCTGTTCCTGATGACGACAAGGAGAGGGCTGATATCGTGGCTGAACTAAAGGAATGGAAACAACATCACGAAAAAATCATGGAGAAGATCAAGATAGAAAAGGCTCCTCAGGTCGGCAGATTCATGTTCTAAATTTTGCTTTTTTTATCACTTTCATTGAAGCTATGATAAATTTGTTAGCAGAGGTTCATTACACATGTATTAATGTAATTGCTGAAGAAATTAGACTTCTAAGAATAAAAGAAAAACTGGAGTCCCAAAAGATTAAATGCTGCTTGAAATGACACATTTTTGATGCGAATTCTTTTCCAGTAAAATTTTCCTTCATTTGTTTAGGTGTTAGTAATTGATCACGATGATGCGGTGAGTGTATCCAGTGATGAGGAGATATCTGATGAAGAAGACACTGGGGACCTGGCATCTAGCTTCACTCCTCTGGACGACAGTGACCGACCAATTAGTGCTGACCGACCCTCCAGTAAAGGGGAATCTGTCACTTCAAGTCCATTACTGGGTACCTCATTTCTTGTTATTAGACTATTATCCTGCACATGTATCACAAAAGACTTTTTTAATTTTTTTAAAAATATGAATACATTACACACCACAAAAAGACAACATGAAAGTAGCATATGAACATTTTATTAATATATTTTAGGGAAATTTTTGTTGAACAAGTTGAATAAATGAGCATGTCCTGAGTGACGACTGGTAAAATGGTTTAAATGATCATTTTAAATTAAATAATAATTTAAATTGATTTAAGTTAATAAAATTTTAACAGTTATTTAAAAAAATTGTCAACCTTGTAAAAAAAATCAAGTCAAATTATTTTTATTCAATCATGAATAGATCTCCCACCACCCCCAACCCCACCTAAGATGTTGGGACAGATCCGTGAGCCTCCACCGAGAGAGTTCCAGGAGGGGATAATTGAGGTTCTAAAGATGGAGGGACTGACCACAGACAGCAAGAGGGAGGAGCCAGAGGAACCACCAGATACCCCCGAGAGCATCCAGTTAAAGTCGCGGCTGGAGAACCACGCCCTGAACCCCCACCGCCCCTGTCCACCCATCAAACCCCTGGGAAGGTCGTCTCCAGACGGCCCTATCATGCCCCGAGTCCCCCCTCCATCTGCCGTGGGTAGGAACCTGATGAGTAAAAGTATGACTGTCCCAGCAAAAAGAACTAGCCTACAAAGCCCCGAGTCGGGATCTCCAGTGATTGGACCGTCTGCCTCTGTGGATCGACCCGTGCTGCAAAATCGTCCCTTCACTGCTAGAGCTGTCCTGTCACAGGTCCGCAGACAGCTGCCTCAGGTTCCTACACTTCCTTCTAAACCAAGCTTTCCAAAGTGAAGGAGGAGTCCATTCAGCTTTAGGAAAAGAATATTTCGATGGAAAGCAAACTTGGTTCTGGTTTCTAAACTTATTGTCTTTCATTTGTTGAGCAGTGTTTTATAGACAGAGAGAACTGTATTCAAATTATTATAGTATGTTCAATTTGAAAGTCAACAGAAAGGATAAATGGGTCAAAGGTGTCTTTAGTGATGGTTAAACTCCAAAAGGGTAAAAATACTTAAATTTTATTTTTTCTTGACATATTGGGCACAGATAAGCAAAAGTTTCAACGAAAACAGTGTACATGTAAATCTCTGTCAAGTTGTTGATAAGATCTAGCAACACCTTAGTGTCAACCAAACGTAATTGTCCATAGAAATACAAAACCAAGGTCACTCACTGGTGATCTTTATTGCAGCAAGCAGATGCAAACCAAATTCATTCCATGTTACAGAGAAGGCCTTTTGCTTAATTTGCAGATTTATGTTTATATATCAGAATGATCAGTATTTACTATATTTTTCAGTCTAATTTTTAGATATTGTCATGGAAACTGTAGTGATCTTGTGTGAGAACTTTTTTTTTTTATTTACTGACTGATATTTACATCATTTTTTATATTTATCTTAATGCATCAAATTTCCTCAACAAAAGGGATGTACTCAAACCTATATATTACATCCCCTGTATCAGACCGTGGCTGAAGGTTTATTATTCATAATATATTTTCCATTCCAATATCTTTAAGAGTCCCAGAATTTATAAATTCCATCAACAAAAACAACAAGAGTAGATGCTAGAATCTTGACATGTGTACTTTGAAAAGAATTTTCTCTACCATGATTTCAATTGTTTAAGTTATTAAAATATATGTATGTAATTTGAACATCTGAGTAGAATGTAAAATTCATTTTGTATCAAAATGCTTGTCGCATGTTTTTTCAGGATCAAGATATGTCTGTGTGTTACGAATTATTTGCATTTAATTTATTGAGTTGAAAAGGCTTTTTGTTTTCAATGATTTTCTCTTTTTTTCACAATGCATATGTAGATTGTATTTTTTCACAATAAACAATGCTTATCATTTCATGTTTTTCTCTCAGCGAACTTAGAAAACAATTGTATCTGAAAAAACAATAAAAGACAAGCTGAGTCTTATGGAAATGTTGTTAATCCAGACACTTGTATTCTATAGCAAATTGTTTAAAATATTGCTTGTAAACAACTAAAACAAGCTTTATATTCATAAATTATTTCAAATAATTTTCATTCAGAAGGTGGAGTGTCTGGATTGATCATGTCTTGGATAATTAAGGCCCCACTCCACATACATAATGTCTTTCTAATGATTTTCTGAAAAAATCTTTTTCAATTAGGTTTACAGTAAACTGTTGTCTTTGTGAAAATTGTTTCTCATGGATCTTAGCTACACATTTTACCTAAAAGAATCTTGTCTAAAATATTTGAAACATTTTAGACTACAATATCTGAACACTGCACTGGAAGAGTAAGGAACTCAAAAACAATCCAGAGGTTAAAAAATATGTTAGTCTGAGGTTGGGATTTGAAGCTTATGGGTGGACTAGCTAATTGTCACCTACCAATGTCCATTGGGTCAGTCAGGGATTTTCCACACCATTTTGGGAATGGGGCCCAGGCCCTTACAATTGGGAATTTAACGACATTTTATCACTTTTTGGGAATTTTTATTGCATGATATTTTTCAAGAAATAAACACTTATAATTGATTTTTACATCATCATTCAGAACTATTATTTAGAGAATAGATTAATTATTATGAAGTTTTACTCAAGTTTCCTAAAATTTTGTTCATATCATTCAGATTTCAAACCTGACCATGTTTGTTTTACATGAATTTTGATCAAGTTTACTTTGTGGAGTTTTGTGCATTCAAAAATTGAACACATGCTGTTCATTTTTGGGAAAAATGGAAGAAATTTGCAATACGCAAGTTTCAAGATTATCTTCCTTGGTGCGCTCTTTCGTTGAGGAGGGGAGTTTTGTTGCCGCGTAAACAAACAGGTGGGACAGATATTTATTATTGGATATATCGCATCATCGATATACTGGTTTATCGTAACTAAATAATTGTAAGGATGCACTGTTCAACTCAAGAATAACCGAATTAAAGTAGTCATTTTTTAAAGCAAAACAAATCGGAACCAAAAAGAAAATTCAGTGGATGTGAGACTTTTCAGACGAGGGAAGAGATATATGGACCTCTGATAAATACGGTAAACATGAATCTGATCATTACATATATCGGCAATCTAAATGACACATTGATTTTTTACCTTATTATAACTTCAAAAAACCCACTAACCTTTTAAAGAGTGTTTGTACAATCAAGAAAGTCATTTACTTTTTATAAAGACCACGACGTTTATTTCGTTTTCAAGTATCCTATAATTGAAAGTAGATATGTAAATATATACAATTGAGCTTGATAAAATCATAAATGCATCACTGCTTAACATTTTTATCTTTCTATAACATTAGATAAATTTTAAAAGCCATAAACATCGTTCATTTATTTATGCACGTTTGTACATAAACAAACTGTCCCACCTCCATGCTGAAATCGATACTTTTTTGCGCCTCTATCGCAGGAGAGTTACAATCTCGAAACGCGCATATTGGGAATGGGGCCCATATTCGGCCCTACACAGGGTAGTGGAAAATCCCTGGTCAGTATTAATATTAAAGCAGAACGAAAAAAAAAAGAGGCCCATGGACCACATTGCCCAACTGAGCAATGTGGCTAGGATAAAAGCAGAAAACAGTTCAGTATTGAAAAGTAATGATGCTTAAATATTTCTTTGACTAATTGTGGCTTTTTTACCCTTTAAGTTTGAACTTACACTGTGGTCCCCCTACATCCCCAACACTGTCATAATTTGAACAAAATTTAAAGCTCCAGTCTGACAGCATTAATTTGATGGCATGATAGAAAAAGAGTCATGCATATGATATGATGAGTAAACAGGGTTATCAATCATTAAGGTTTGGTTTTATTGGCCAGTGGATTATTAATTTAATGTAGTCTAATGTATTTCATGAGTTTAGCAGTTCTTAGAAAATTGTATGTCTCAGGAAAATTTAAACCCCTGCAATCCAAATGAAATGGATAGTAAGATTATATCACCAGGAATCAATTTACTCAGTTTTCATATTTCAATGTCACTTTTATGGTTACAATTAAATTAACAAACACCTAGCAAATGATTGAAATTGTGGCTTACATGTACATTTTGTGTCTTTACTCTCACAAGTTTGACACTGTATGTGTTTCAATATCACATTTTTTAATAGCTATATATGATTAAGAAGTAGAGCAGTGCCCTATGTTTTTATCTAGAACCTTTAACTTCAGGCTATTTGTTTTCAGGACTAACCTTCTTTGTCGTATCATCTTTTTCTGTCTGTAGCAAATGGACACGATGACAAACACGAACACGGAGGGTACGATGATCCCCATCACGATCAGGGTCACCAGCACCGTGTGGTCCTTCCCGGTCAGCGGGTGGGGCGTTCTCTGGGCGGGCATCCAGGGGGTCGAGGTTTGAAGGGAATCTAGACATTTTTAAAAGAAAATGAGCTCAATTTATTTTTTAAAATTATATTTACAAAATACCTTATTATTCAAATATCATATCATGATCATGTTATCATTAAGTGTTTGACTATGATTTTTTTTTTTAATTTATAATTGAGAAGTATATCACTTTTATTATATCTTGCATCAGTGAATTTTTCTTTTCATTTTTTTTTTCCTGGGCAAAAGATTTGGTTATTTAAAAATTTTGAGAAGGACCAAGCAGGACCCTGTATATAAATAAAATTTGCTTGTGATTTCATAATTGTGTTTTCTTTTATCATTCTATGGTTTCTATGCTTTTGATCCAGTGTGGTGATGCACTTCTCAATGTCAAACTTAATCACTAGTCATGTTACATTATCCTTAATATAGAATTGTAATCAAGTTATCATTTTGTAATAATTGTTCATGCCCCCCGTGGGCCCTTGATTGGTGAATAAACATAATATATTTAAAAAAAAAAAAAAAAAAATATATAGGAAATCGCTGTCTTGATTTTGTAGTAAGAGAATATATAACATGTTACCTGTCAGGGGTTGTTTAAATCCATTTAGTTAGAATAATCTAACTGTGTCTTGGGACAGTCTTTCGAGGGAGTATTTACCTGTTAATTGTATTTCCCAGTACCAGTTGTGTTTCCGAGAGTGTATTTTCCTGTTAACGTTGTGCTTCTGTCAATGTATTTACCTTGTTTACTAACCTGGCATGCTTCTTAGGGTGTATTTACCTGCTGTGCTTCCGTGGGTGTAAACATGTATTTACCTGTCATGTTTCAGAGGGTGTATTTATGTACCTGTTGTAATGCCAGGTGTTGATGCTGTGCTGGAATCATTTGTGAAGATTCCTGTTGTCTGAGACACCACTTTGTTTAAAGCTGAAGAAAGGAATGAACTGACATTTGTTGTAGGCAGATTTTGCGTGGAACTCTCCAATGACCAAGGCTCTGTTGCAGAATCTGGCATCTTTGATTATTAGATGATGTTTTAAAAAGTGCCAGCCTCTGTATCTATCGTGTATGACCTTGACGATGTACGAAATGAGGTTTTTAAAATACCACAGATAAACAAATGTTAAATAAAAAAGCATTTAAAAATTCATCGAACATGGAAAATTTTACCTGTAGGTAAAATTAGCCTTTTTTAAAATCCGTTCTCTTGATTTGTTTACATCGCAGAGTTACCTTTCTTGGATCGATTACTATTTTTGTGGATTCCGATCTCGATGGAATAAAATTTATTTTTATGGTACAAATAACAATATTCATAATATTTATCCATATTTGTCATAAGTGTTGGTTGAAATCATTAACCAGTGTGTAGAAAAACGTTTCTTTTGTACATTGTAGTCCTATCTGTAGAAAGAGTAAAATTACGAAAGTGAAATTTCTGTAAAAAGAATTTCTGAATTTCTCTTTGAATATTATGTAAATATTACGGAAAATCTACAAGGGATCCCCAAAGTCATGTAAAATTTTTCATTCATGTTTCGTGAGGGTGGTCGAGGCCCGGGGCTGGGGTTATGCAAGAAGGTACACGGAGGAAGGCAATAAGCAAAACTCTATCTACCAAGCAGGAAAGGCAGAGATTGAGCGTAAACATATCTACTTTACATCTCTCTCTCTCTCTCTCTCTCTCTCTCTCTCTCTCTCTCTCTCTGCAAAAATAAAGGGGTGTTCAACCCCCGAATTCCCCCCTCTGAGTCTCTAGATGCGGAAAATGTATTGACTAAAATTAACAAGCATTTTGAAACAACAAATCCTTTTAATCGACTAAGAAAATCATCCAAGTCCATTTCCTCTTTTTGTGGCCATCTTTATCCAATGACTAGCGTTTCTTCCAATCTAGAGATAAATAAAGAAGGGTAATCTCATGCAGTGCATTTGAAGGACATCAACTTTTAACCAAGAAAGAAAATTAGTGTTTTACTCTGTGGTGTTTTTAATATCAAAATGAACTTTTTAATTTTAAATTATTATTACATTTGGGATGTATATCTTTAACAGTGCTTCTAGCTCCATATATTTATGTTCATAACAGGACATTTTTGAAGCAAGAAAATTATTACTTTTTTTACACACCCAAAATTTCTTTTGATAAAATTGATATCAATTGATTAATGTTCATAAAACATTTCTTTGATATTGATATCGTTTGATGGTAAAATTATTTCAGTGATACTATATTTCCATTCAAAGATGGATTTTTTTCCTAAGAAACTTACTCTTTTTCACAGATGAAATTCATTCTCTCGTCACAATGTGAATCGTTCCAGGAGAAGTCGACCTCGGACCACATGTGGGCACAGTCTTCATTACTCTCGTAATCGTCCGGGAAGTTCCGCGCCCAGTCCGTGTACGAGAAGGGCGTCTGGGACTTCATCCAGATCCACTCCCCCTCCACCACGGCGTCCGTGCCCCCGATCCAGAACCCGGACTGCTCTGTAAGATACCTCTCAGTCAGGGTGTTTTGTAAAGTGTGCTTAAATATGATGCTTTAGGATAATACGGCATGGAGATGAACAGTTTTGCAAGACAAAGAAAGAGACAGCCTTTGGTCATACAGGTACCTTCTTTGTCGTATTTGACACATTCTTTCAAGTTTGATTAGCAAAACAGTTCTGCAATTATTCTGCAATCATATGTGCAAGTTTCATTTTAATTAAATAGGAACTAGAGGTACTATGAGCACTACACTCACAAAACACTTCCTCTTGTTCTCATATAGGTAATGTATAAAGGCAACCTCATTTTTGTCGTTGTGGGGAAATCTCAAATATATACATGTGTCTAACAGAAATATAAAATAAGAGATGTAGAGTGTCAGTATATAAATATTCTTTAAAGATACATGTAAATGAATTATAGTTTTACTGTGCTGGTGTGCTGTCCGTGCATGGCTCCGAATATAATTGTTCTCCTCCTCTGTCTCAATTTCAACCAGTTTGGCTCCCAACATGCTACAGAAGTACTGAAGAGAGGATCGGTATTAATGATATTTCAGGACAAAAATCTGAATAGTCAAATTTCAAAATAGAAATGTGGGAAAAGTGAACATTTTGAATCCTCTTACCTCTGATTCCGTCCAGTCGTTATCGACGTGTGTAACAAAAAGGTAACATGACGAACTATTTCTCAGCCAGCCGTGTGGACAGTTCCCGAATCCAAAGTCTGGCTGTGCCAGTGCACCTGAATCAATGGGAGATTCCGATTTGTAGACGGTATACATGTATAATACGGCTAACTTATCTGAGATGTAGCGAGCTTACGAATATCTTATATAAATATTGCATCTATTTACTAGTATTTATAAAGGGCGTTAATTTCTCTTGCATATACAAATTTACATTAAACTCATACACTTATATATTCTTATGATATAGTAAAGGACATAGAGTAAAAATTTACTGCAATAAAACATACACTCTTTTTTCTCCTTCATTGTATAAATATAAAACTATATTACTTATGCGATTATTTACCAGCTATGAAGGTAGTGAAGAATATCCAAAACATGATCAGGAATTGACCATTTCTCACTCTGTCTACACATGTAATTATGTAGGTTAACACAAGATAAGCATTATTAAAATATGTGGGTCAATGAATACCAACGAAAGCTAACAGAGTCCTACTTAATGACTTATCTTCATTGATGTAGTAGATTAATTTAGGTCTTATCCATATCAGTCTAATTATATATATGTTCATCAGTATATGTATATTTATATTTCAAAAGAAGCGCTCAAAGGGGAGTAACACTATTTTTGTTTTATATTTTACAGGGTCTTTTTTAATATATCAGAGAAATCAGGAATTAAGGATACCCTTTTTCAATTGTCCTAAATTCAAACTGTTTTTAATATGACTAATTCAAATCTTGTATCAATGGAATGATAGTTCCAAAGGTTTGCAAAGCCAAGGACTGGCAATGTGGATACGATGCCCTTGTCTATAACATGCTCCTAATGGCGTGCGCCTCAACTAGCCTCCGACAATCAAGACCAATTCCTAGCCTGCTCGTATGGCTTTCAACAAGTACAGCGGAACCGCTACCACTGGAGAAGGTATGAGGGCGAGTTACATGGCGCCTGAAAACCTGTGCTTTAGATAGATGGGGTTCATCAGTCTGGGAGGATTGCTCATCTAAGGATTGCTCATCTAAGAAGAAGAAAACTCTGATTCCAAAACTCCGCTGCCTTGCGGCCATACCAACTTATGGAAAGGGCTAGGTGAAGGAAATACTGATATAAAACTGAATAGAAAGACCAAAACTCCAAAATCAAACCATCTTTCCCCGGGATTACTAGAGGTTTGCACAGGGCCAACAACCATGCTTATAAAATGCTTGTTACTCATCAGTCAATCAGTTTTTTTCGCTCAAACCATATATTAGGAACATGAGGATAAACGACAGCATCAACAACAAGCCAAAACCAACATAACCTGGGCCAGATTGGGCCTACTTCAAGGGGAACTGTGATGCTTTACAATGAAAGCCGAACGGAACCTGCAGAGCTGACTTCCTTTCCGTCACCCAGGAAAACAACCAGATTCGCTACTTGGAACACAAGAACAATGTATAAGCAGAAAGAACAGCATAGGTAGCAAAGGAGATGAAGCACTACAACATTTGTCTCCTAAGACTGAGTGAGACGAGGGGGCTACAGACAGGACAGCTGAGGCTGACCACCGGGGAAAGACTGATGTAATCAGGACACATCGAGGGGGTAGCCCTCCAAACCTAAGTTGTAGGCCCGATGCTATCCCTGGAGGCAGAACGTGCTCTTATCGGATGGAAACCTTTCAACTCCCGGATAATTACAAGCAAGTTCAATACCAAGTAAAACACGATCCAATTCAACATCATCCATTATTTTACTTCCACCAATGACGCTGATGATAAAAAGACGCCTTTCATTTGCAACTACAGACAGTCTTAGATAAAACGGGGAAGAAAGAAATGAAAATACTCGACCTCAGTGCCAAGAACTGAACTGATAACACTGGCAATGAAGTCATGGGCGCACAAAGACTGGGCTACATGAATGAGAATGGCGAGAGATTTGCAGACCCATGCTCCCTAAACCAGCTTGTAATAGGAGGAAGAATCTTCCCTAATAAACGGATTCACAAGGCTACAAAGAGATCCCTTGACCATATTACAGAAAACCAGATTAATCATATTTGCATCAACATAAAATTTCGATGAGCATGGAAAGATGTCAAGGTGATGAGAGAAACAGACATTTCATCACACTACCATCTGGTGATGACGGCATTTAGGCAACGCATCAAGAAGTTCAACAACATGATAAACAAGAGGACACGGTACAACTGGAGTGTCCTCAAAACAAAGGATGTGAAGACAGCATTCCACCTCAGATTACCCAACAGATTCCACTGCTACAAGACCAGCTAGAAAACAATAATACTAACATAAAAACCCACTGGCAGCCCATCAAGGAAATGTGGCAAGGCACGTGTGAGGAAGTCCTAGGTAGAAGAAAGACTCAACACAAGGTGTGGGTCTCTCCATGAGGAAACCGGATAAGCAAAAGTTCAAGAGGACTACGCAGCCATAGATGAAGTTAAGAAAAGCATCATGATAAGTAAACGGGATTACATTGACAAACTGTCCAAAAAAAACTGAAACAACAGCGGGATATTGAAACTTGAGAGAACTTATATGATCACAAAGAAGCTCTCCTACAAGTTTCAGCAGACAGTAAAGCTAGTGAAGGACAAGAATGGGAAACCTCTCACAACAACAGACAAACAATTGAAGAGGTAGGTAGAACACTTTGAAGAGCTATTTAAGGATGAACACCAGAAAAACAAGCCAACAAAGACAGAGATCAGGAGAGCTATTATTAAGAATGGAAAAGCGGCAGGGCATGAGGAGATACCAGCAGAAGCAATCAGACTGATAAAGCATCAGCTGTTGACATCCTATACCACCTCTTCAAGAAGATCTAGGAGGAATGGAACATGCTGGAAGAATTGAAAGAAGCATCCTTTTTAAGCTGCCATGAAGGGAGATATGAGGAACTGCAGTTATACAGGGGGATCATGCTCCAGTCAGTGAATGCAAGATCCTTAACAGAATCCATCTCTAGAGGATAAGAGAGGCAGTCGACCCAAAAACCGTTACCAGCAGGCTGGTTTTAGAGCCAACAGATCATGAGCTGACTGGATAGCCAGTCTGTGTATCATCATTGAACAAATACTTAAGTGGAAATCCCCGCTCTTTGTCAACTTCATCAACTGTGAGAAAGCATTCGACAGTTGTGGAAGGTATTGAAGCACTGTGGAATACCCAAGAAGAAGCTTGTCTCCCTGATTCAAAACACCTACAAAGGCATGAAGACAGGTCGACATGGATGTTTGCTGTCACTCTTTCTCTTTGTTGGTCATTGACTGAATCATGAGGACTACCACATCAGACAGGAACAAAGGTATACAGTAGACACTCCTGACGCAACTTGACGATCTACATTGCCGACGACCTGGCTCTCCTTTTGCACAAACACAGTCAGATTCATTGAAAACAACTCGCCTTGCAAAAACATCAGCAGGAACGGGACTTGAAATAAATTTGAAGAAAACAGAATTGATGAACAGCACTGTCAGAACACCAGTCACATTTGGTGGTAAGCTCATCAGAGAAGTTGAGTCCTTCATCTACCTGAGGAGTGTGATGGACAGACAGGGTGGCATAGTCCATGACATCAAGTCTAAAGTTGGCAAGGCGAAAACTGCATTTAGCATGTTTAAGAACATCCGGGCTTCAAAGAATATCTGCATTACTTCCAAACTGCAGATCCTCAACTCTAATGCAAAGTACTATTGTATGGTACACTGAGTCAAATGCTGATTGACGTTTTTCATACTTATTGTTAGTTCATTATTCATACACTGAATTGACGACGGATTTTTCCGTTATTTCCCGATCATGCACACAAGTAATATTGTATGGTACAGAGATGCTCCTATTTTGTATTGTTTTATGGACTTTGATATTGAAACAACACCTGGAAGAAAATCCAAACATTTTACAAAACCTTTCTCAGGCGCATCTTCAACATCCTATGGCCTGAAGGGATCTCAAATGACAAACTATGAAAGAAAGCAGGACAGGAACCAATGGAAATACAAATCAGACAAAGGAAGTGGGGCTGTATCAGACACACATCCAGCATCAAAAGCCAGGACCTGATATGGAATCCACAAATCAAAAGAAAGAGGGGACGTCCTCCACCAATCACCTGGAGGCGTGACTCGGAGTCAGAACTAAGGCTTAGGGCATGTTTTGGCATGATGCAGTGAAAGCAGGCAAGAATCGAGTTCGTTGGAGGACTGTTGTCAATGGCATATGTTCCTCATGGAACGACAGACCTAAGTAATTGAGTATCAATAGAATGATGGCCATCTTCAGATGTCAAAAGTGGAAAACTCCTTCAGGTGTTACTGTATATAATTGGTTACATGACAAACTTCATGTCCTATCCCAATATAGAACTTTGAATATGGCATCTTATTTTTATAGATTGAATTTTAAATTCATTATTATTTTAATATGTTAACTCACCTTATTTTGCATAATAATAAAGCCCATGTTTTAAGGACCCAAAATTTTACAATTTGATAATGGATCACTGTTCATTGTCTTTACACACTATGCTTTCTTAATGTCCAACAAACAACTAATTTTAAAGGTACAACTAAAATCAATTTTCAATATCAGGGTACATGTGACTAAGATATAATATTCTAGAACTACTAGTATGCGAGTCGTGCATAGTTTCACATTTTTAATAGAGGACCCTTACTCTTTGTAATCCTTTAAACATACTAGTATTTCCTTCCAGATGTCCAGGGGGATATTGCATTTAAATGATGTACATGTATTGTATATCACCCTAAAGATTGATTGATTGTATATTGTTTAACGTCCTTCTCGAGAATTTTTCACTCTCGAAACCACTTGCCGGTGGGGAGCTACGATTTTTTTTCTATACTCGGCACTGAGGGCCATTGAGCAGAGAGGGATCTTTTTCGGTTTATAAGGTCTCATCCGAAGGTTCTGTCTCCACGTCCAACAGTGGGAGGATCAACTCGTTACTTCGCGAAACAAGAGCAGACCCTCTAACAACTGCGTCACGCGGGCAACTCCCCAAAAAGAGGTCTACAGAGGTCTGAACCAAAGGCAAAAAAATGTTGCATTTTTCATTGAATGATACCTTTGTTTTGCCATTTTTCAAGTCCATTAAAAATGGGGATTATTTTTTATATCTAATAGCAGTTACCAATATAATTTCCAAAATATTTTAATCCTGTCAAAAATCACCAAACGTTTTTCTTCTAGCTTATTTCTTCAGTGCATGCACCTGTCATCTGGGCATTTTGACTGTGTTGGTATTATTAAAAGTTAAGTAAACCAATACTGTAAAAATATTAATTCTGTATTGTGTTTAGTGTAAATAACATTTAACCCTACATATGCATGTGGATTAAATTTAAGGTAATTAAGAGAATGCACCAATATCCAGCCTGGCTTCGAGTTTCCTTTTCTCAAAAGAGAAACTGTTATTAATAGGGGGTCTAATCTTTTGTACAGCTTTAAAAATGACATTCAGTACATTGAACGTTTTTCCATTCTTTATTTTTCCCACATTATCTCATTTTCCGACGACGACAAGCGGGGTTTCCTCCAGTCTGTGAAAAAAGAATATGAAATACTTAGTACTTTAGCGTAAAATATATGGAGAAAACGAACGGCATGCAAGCCCAAAAGTCCATTCAAACAATACCATCAGAGGCAGAGCAAACATGGACCTCTAGAACATAAGAGGTGGGATCAGGTGCCATGGAGGAGTGAGCATCCTCTAACTACTGGCCACTCCCGCTGTATGCTCTTTGTCATGATGGGAAAATATCGAAAAACCGTTAATAAAATAAATGTGTAAATAATGGCCTAACAATTAGTATGAAAAACGAATATTTGTTACTAGTATTTTGCTTACGTTCATTAATTTTGAGGATACTTACTGCATACTCATGTATTAATAATTATTAATTATATTCTTATTACCTTTAAATTACCTTTATCTCTATATTCATCGCATTGTGAAACAACTGTGGTGTCTCGAATGAAACAATATATTAGCATACTGAAGGAGATTTTGTGACTAAACAATAATTGTATCATAATTTTCATTACGTGAGTTCACAGATAAAGCTCATTCTGTGGTCACAATCTTCATCATTCCACTCAAAGTGTTCAGCCTTGAAGAGATGGGCACAGTCCTCGTTTTTACGATAATCATCAGGAAATCCCGGGGCCCAGTTAGAGTAAGTAAAATTCTGTCCAGAGGTGATCCACATCCACTCGCCTTCTACAACGGCATCCGTTCCTCCAATCCAAAACCCAAAGGTCTCTGGAAAAATGCAAACGTTTGATTCTTAAAGTAATACATGTGTTTTTAATATTTGAAAGTTCTGTAAAAGGAGAAATGTTTACCTGGATTTTCGTGGATGTCTAATGACTTGCATCTTAACCTGGATTTTTGTGAACATGTCTAATGGCATGCTTACTTTGATTTTCGTGAACGTGCCTGATGGCCTGTAACTGGAGGAAGTTGTCCTCTTCCATCGTCTCTATCTCCACAAGTTTAGAATGTAACATATGGCAGAAGTACTGCATCAACAAAAATACTCAAAATAGGACTATTAGAATAATATACAGAGATAACTAAAATTCATCTTTCTATAAAAAGGAAATCGGCAGAACATTTTTTCAGATAACCTCAGATTTAATAATTAGGAGTGCCATGCCCAACGTTACAAAATTAGCCTCTGAAATTTACTCAACTTTCATACATTGTTGAAATATACATGGGATTGGAATTCATGCCAATGTCAACGAGTGTAAAAAAAAAAAAGTCAGTCTCTTTCGGCAAAGAAGAGGGGCTTAAGTTGACTCATTGTTGTCAACAAAATTTCAAAGTTCCATGGTGTTATGAACTTCTTAACCAGTGAAAATCTCCTCGCCATTTGACAGACGCCGAGAATGTCACGCCTAACTGAGAGTCCAAGGTTAACTGAGAATTGTACTAAATGATGATATATCTTGTTTTTGATATCGCACATCACAGTAATCAAATATATATACCTGTAGTTTCTCTTAATATCATATAGAGAATGACACATCATATTAAGGGGATTTTTAGTACATGTATGTATCCAAAGAAAAACGTGAGTCAGACACTTATTTTCAGCAGCCTAGCCCGGATGGACCTTGTTAATTAGTTAATTAATCAGACCTGAGATTCCGTCCAGTCGTTAGGTACGTGGGTAACAAACAGGTAACATGACATCCCCCACTTCGTCCAGCCATGGGGGCATTGTGTCTGAGAAACAGCTCCTAGAAATAATAAAAATAGGCGCTGGATTAATTAAAATCTACCTAAATGTTGGATATGTTCTGTTTGGTTGATTCCTTCGCAGATTAAAAATTAATTCACAACTCTTTATGAAACACTGATGCCCTCGTATGGCACGTATGGCGAAGGTTCAACTTCTCAAATGAAAGTTAAACTCAAAGGTCGAAGTCAAAAGATTAAATATGTTCTTACCCACGTGTAGGACGTGTCAATGAATATACTTGTGAAATACGAAAGCCCGACCACCAACAAGGAGATGGGTGAACTTAGCGTGCAGAAAGCCCACTAGTCTCAGATATATAAAAATCATATTCAAATTGTAAATTTAGTATTAAGAGTAAAGTTCTCATCATTGATTTTTATGAAATCATGATAAACAAAAAGTTTTGAGGAAAATTTTTAGTTAAAATGTATTTTGTTATAATAAAGAAAATAATGGGTATCCATTGGGTTCGAACCCTGGCAATGAAAATCCTGAGTTAGTAGATTCTCTATTGAGACAAGCATGCTAACGACTACGCTACACAAGTCTTGATGAAAAGTGGCATTTAAATCATGTTTGTGATATGACCATTGACTTAAGGAACTTCAAGTATTTCTTGAAAAGATACGAAAGTTATGTCTGTCATAGAATTATATTTTTAAGGTACAGTGGGTCATTGCTCCATAATTTTGGAAACCAAAATATGTATATTTAAATACGCAAACTTTGAGGATTAACTTTCAAAAAAATGGAGAGAGGACCCACTCATATAGAAAAATAGTGTTATAGTGGGAAAAATGACTCGTTTTGTCCTCTTTCGTGTGTGTATAATATTTCATAGGCAAATAACTTCAATCTTCATGAGATTTGTGCAAGTTGTAGAGATTTTACATAAAGTATACTTTAATCTTAGGTGAAATATAAAGGAAAATTTTGATATAATTGAGATTTAATTTTTCACCTTAATGTTTGTTGCGCTTTGGGCTTATCTCTCGTCATGTTCACCCATCTCCTTTAAACGTTTTTTTTTTTCACCGATAAAGTTAATTAAAAGTGGAAAAAATAACTAGGACAAGGTCAGAGGGTCAAAACTGGTGTTACCCAGGAGAAAGCATTCACATATGAAGTACACAAATGTTCAAAAGTTAAGAGGACGTTGAGGAAGAAGATACTAAGACAGACAAACGCACAGGGAAGCCTCCCTTGAGAAAGTATCAGTGACTCACTCCTCCATGGCACCTGATCCCACCTCTGATGTTTTGGAGGTCCGTGTTGCTCTGCTCCTATTTTGTATTGTTTTATGGACTTTTGATCTTGCAATTGAATACTGTTCGTTATCTCCATATGTCTCATTAAATCAACCCTAGTCGAAGAAAAACGACAAGGTACACTGTCCATTTTCGACGATCAACGCTTCCCTATGTAGTCAGACACCGAATTCAACTAGTTGCATTTTACCAAAAAAATAGAAAAGAAAAAAAAACTCCTAAAATTAATGATTTGACAAAATTTAAAAAAAAACAGTCTACGTTTTTTGAAAATGATTATAATCATATCTGGTAGGCAATCTTTCTGCATTTTGAATCGAACCCTAACAACTGCCAACTGCAAGGACAATGTTCATTATTACCTGGTTTGTTTTAAGTTTGATTTTTTCATAAAACATACCTTCGAGAAAGGACGCCAAAAACAGTAACCACAACATTTAATTTGATGTTCGATATAACAAGCACTGTGTTCCAGATTTTGCGATCACAGTGACGTCTCAAATCAACTTCTGGAAGTCACAGCCTAAAATTCTTTGATTGGCTGATTTGGTTTCCATGGGCGACCCTTCGTAAAATCAGTACATATGTCCGATGGACATAACTAGTTACACAAGGCGCAAACAGTCTCTTGCTTATAAATTTTACTCAAGAAGAAAATACGACACAATTTTTACTGCAGAATTTTCAAATCCTTTAATTTTTTGAACGCGAGTGCGACACATTCTGCTAAAAATGCCGAAGGACAGTTACATGTATAATAGACTAGACCTGACTTAATTGTATAATTGCATTTACTCTGTATAACAGGAACCAATTTCAGAGGTTCATCAAGTTGATTTTTATGAATTTCGACAATATTCAGTTTTCACCAGTTGTCACCGTTTCAAATCCAAAACAGCCAATCCAAAGAGTTAAGCCAACACTTCTAATACTTGTGCAATGCGCTTGCTCATCGTGGATATCAAACATTTCATATATATTGGTCAATATATCTCACGATTTTATTATAGAACTATATCATTAAACAGATAAGAAATCTAGACCGACCTTTGTATACAAATGTCAGAGTATTCCTAAGGGCTGATTATCGGTATTGGGTCATTCTTCAGGTAATCCATTTTTAATGCTGATAGAACCTAAAGATGGCACTATTCATATACGCAGACCACTCAATACTCAGATAGCACCTGTAGCACTTATACATGGACAAACCCTTCATGGCTGATAGCACCAACTATAGCACTATTCTTATACATAAACCCTTCATGGCTGATAGCACCTTTAACACCATTCTTATGCATGGATAGACCCATCATGGCCGATAGCACCATGCACATATAGCACTATTCTTATACATGGACAGACCCTTCATGGCTGATAGCACCTGTAACACTATTCTTATACATGGACAGACCCTTCATGACTGATAGCACCTGTAGCAACATTCTTATACATGGACAGATACTTCACTGCTGGTAGCACCTATAGCCTAATCATATACATGGACAGACCCTTCATGGCTAATAGCACTATTCTTATACATGGACAGACCTCTCATGTCTGATAGCACCTGTAGCACCATTCTTATACATGGACAGATACTTCATGGCTGATAGCACCTGTAACACTATTCTTATACATGGACAGACCCTTCATGACTGATAGTACCTGTAGCAACATTCTTATACATGGACAGATACTTCACTGCTGGTAGCACCTATAGCCTAATCATATACATGGACAGACCCTTCATGGCTAATAGCACTATTCTTATACATGGACAGACCTCTCATGTCTGATAGCACCTGTAGCACCATTCTTATACATGGACAGATACTTCATGGGTGATAGCACCATATATAGCACCATTCTTATACCCTTCAGATAAGAAATGGACATGGACAGATACTTCATGGGTGATAGCACCTGAAGCACCATTCTTATACATGGACAGATACTTCATGGGTGATAGCACCTGAAGCACCATTCTTATACAGGGACAGATACTTCATGGGTGATAGCACCTGAAGCACCATTCTTATACATGGACAGATACTTCATGGGTGATAGCACCTGAAGCACCATTCTTATACATGGACAGATACTTCATGGGTGATAGCATGGACAGACCATTCTTATACATGGACAGATACTTCATGGGTGATAGCACCTGTAGCAACATTCTTATACATGGACAGATACTTCACTGCTGGTAACACCTATAGCCTAATCATATACATGGACAGACCCTTCATGGCTAAAAGCACTATTCTTATACATGGACAGACCTCTCATGTCTGATAGCACCTGTAGCACCATTCTTATACATGGACAGATACTTCATGGGTGATAGCACCTGTAGCAACATTCTTATACATGGACAGATACTTCTTGGGTTATAGCACCTGTAGCACCATTCTTATACATGGACAGATACTTCATGGGTGATAGCACCTGTAGCACCATTCTTATACATGGACAGATACTTCATGTGTGATAGCACCTGAAGCACCATTCTTATACATGGACAGATACTTCATGGGTGATAGCACCTGTAGCAATTCTTATACATGGACAGATACCTCATGGGTGATAGCACCTGTAGCAACATTCTTATACATGGACAGATACTTCATGGGTGATAGCACCTGTAGCAATTCTTATACATGGACAGATACTTCATGGGTGATGGCACCTGTAGCAACATTCTTATACATGGACAGATACTTCATGGCTGATAGCATCTATAGCAACATTCTTATAAATGAACAGACCCTTCACGGCTGATAGCATCTATAGCACTTTTCTTATACATGGACAGACCCTCATGCATAGGGAATCTCGGAACCACAAATACATTTTTTCAATCTGTTTACTATTAAATTAACTTCCAGAATTCATTTAAAGCAATCTTTATTATGAATAAATTATTGCACAAAAGCAGTAAATAACAAAAATATTTTGCATAACAGACAGATGCAGACAAAAATTGCTGTAACAAATAAATCATTGAACAGTCAGTTTAATAATAATCTGCTCACTCACTGTTATATAAATAACTTATTTAACCAAATATGCATACATGTACATCATAGATATACAAGAATTTAAATCATCCTACTGCATGATCATTATCATCAGAAATATGTACGAAGTCACCCTTTATGAAAAGAGAGATTCATAACAATATGTGCCAATAAACAATGATTCACAAGATTCATCATCCATCTCTATAATAATAGCATAGTTGTCAAATATTTGACCAGGTCAAATTAAATAGATTTGGTCTGGTTAACAAGGTATGTCTGTTAAGATTCCCTCTGGTCTCTCTAACACAAGCAAAGGTCAGTCGTTAACAGGGTATGTCTGTAAAGATTCCCTCCATTCTCTATTACACTAGCACAGGTCAGTTGTTAACAAGGTATGTCTGTGAAGATTCCTTCTGGCCTTTGTCTCTGGGGATCTTCATCTCCAACTGTATCACTTACAATCTGAGAAATAAAAGGAGAAAATCTATGTTTTATCTACTAAAAAGATTATAGGATCAACTTTTCCAGTTCTTTATTGCAATTACGTTACCTTATCTCATTATCTGATTGACATGCTATACTGTTAACCAACTTTTATTCGTGTGCGAGAAATTTTCGTGAGGTTTCCGAGAGCCTTTTCATCAGGAATATTTCTCTCCGCAAACTGATCCGTAAAGTCTCTGTGTCTATTAACAACACATCAAAAATGGCTCGATCGGAAAAATTAATCATCATGAACTAGTTTCCTCCTGGTAAATTGCACAATAAAGTCATCTCGAATAAAAGTTGGTTTACTGTGTGTAGATCTAACTAAAGGAATTCTAATTGTACCTGTCTTGCATCAGCACGACTTAAGTCACCTCGACACATCAGTAGATTTATCAGCTGTTCAGGTTTCATGTCCGGGTACTTTGTTACCAGACCCTTTCAAAGAGATAATCAAGTCAGGAAAACTAACCTAATACTGTATTTTCTTGTAGAATGTACATCTGAAGTACTTAATATTAAAACTTAGTAGCAAAACTTAAAACAAAAGCCTTAATGAATGCAAACAAACTTAGAGAATTTTTCAGGATCTTTTTGGTCTGGCTGCAATCAACCATCTATGGCATATTGTAAAAAGTTAAACAGTGTACAGTTGTACATTTTCTGAAGCATTTCTTGTCTGATGCTAAATAATGACTATTAAGATTAAAGTTTTTTCAAAGTTAACCTTCAAGGACTAGGCCATGAAGTTGAAAATCATAATTTATAGAGGAAAGTCTTTTCACTGGCAAAGCTCAGGTGAAAAAATAAGAAAAATTGGTCACTTGAGTGCAGAAAATAATTGATTTTTCAAAAAGAAAGTCAAATATCAAGGTTAAAACACATGCAACATTCACAAATGGCTTTGCTGTTCACTAGAAGAGATTTTTTCCCAATAAATTCCTACGTAAAACTTTGATCACCCCACGGCACCCCATTCTTTCCTCATCAATGACAAAGAAATCATTGATAAATTGTTGGGAAACTTACCGTCAGTTCTAAAGACATCATTGATGAATCCCTCAACCTCAAAACTTCAGCCAGCATTGGTAAAACAGCAAACATATCTTCTGTCTACATTTCAGAATTAAACCTTTGTAAGGCCATGTTATACCATAATGATTATAACAAAAATAAAATCTCTGCTAAATCAAATTAATAAATAGCAGATAACCCTTAGAATTAAATTTCTGTTCATTTTCTACAAAAGCTGAAAAAAATTATCATGATTTGTGTGAACATGAAAGTCTCATTTTACTAATTTTGAATTCTTAAGTTTTCATTTATAAGTTGTGTACAGAGTTTTATATAATTATCACCTGAGTTTACTCAGGTGACCTAAAAAGTTAAACAGTGTGCAGTTGTACATTTTCTAAACTCTTGTCTGCTAAATAATGACATAACTATGTATTAATTAGAGGAAAGTTTTTTCAAAGTTTCAAGATTTTTCAAAAAGAAATACCATGCAACATTCACAAATGGCTTTGCTGTTCACTGAAAGATTTTTTCCAGCACCTGTTTTAACAATTCAAAAAACTTTAATTATTTGTGTTTAACTAAATTAAATTCTAAATTATTTTAAGAAGAAAGTCGTATTTCAAAACAATCTTGTTGTAAAACAGTTGTCCTGCAACTTACTATGGCAGGACAACCGTTACATGATCTAAGTAAACATCTAACAAGTTGAACATGCTTAACTATAAGACACGTTAATTTATATACATGTAAATGGTATGTATGATTTCCCTGGCAAGTAATTCTTCATACAATAGTCTGTAAATCATCACATACAAGTAATATTTTGAAGTATTGATTACATTATTGCAATGCCAGTTTAATGCAGACATACAGAATATTTTGAAGCCATAAAATCAAGAATATTTGATAAAATCGAATGCCCATGACATAATTATTCTTAATAATTGCCTTTGAATTCATATATTATAGTCACAAATAAACTTTCTTTATTTTATATACACATGTTTCAAAGATTGGGTATACAATTAATGTAGCAAGAAAAGATCATAATAATATTTAAGTTCAATACATCTTGTAGAAAAAGAACATGCTAAAAACTTGTCTAATCTTCAACATTCTGAAAAAATAACTCAACTGTAATAAATGTTTGTGGGGTTGTCATGCAAAACTTACAATTGGTAATTGAATATGTTGACTCTAGAATCACAGCAGACATCTTATGAACTATTCTTTTATATACTACTCTATCGAAATTTTATATATTCTTTCCCAAAATGATGGGGGATAAAAATGAAGATGAGATTGAATGTCCAGGTCCAGAGAAATGCAAACACAGGGATGTAATTAAAGCTAAAAATTTATAAAATTTCAATTATCAACAATCAAATATTGATTTTTTTTATTCATTTTACAACGGAAAATAACTCTTCCATGATATCCAGTAAAAAGCAAAATACCCTAGATGCCAATAAGCTGTAAAAATATAAGGAAATTTGACACATTGGATACATAAGACAGATTTTATAGAGAATAGGAGCCCCACCTTGTTAGTGTACTTGTGGAACAGAGCGGCCATTTGTTCTGCCTCTTTACAAATCTTGTCTGCAGCCATCTTCCTCTCATCGTAAGTCTTAAACGACAGCTTCCTATACAAGATATTTATATATTTATCAATGTCCAAGTCATTGTAGCATAAAGAAAAGTATTTGGAATCTATTTTCTTTCTTATAATTGGAGTATATGTATATTTCTTTTTTCAGGGCAAAATGAAATTCCTGGTACTAAAAATGGTGCAATCATACATGTACATGTAAGTTATTTCTTGGGAATAACTGATATGAATTATTCCTTCTTGGTGTCAAGTGATTTTTTTATTATTAAAGAGAATTGATTTCAATGATTAATATATTACTCAAAGAGAAGTCATACATATTTTTACTTATCACTTAGAAGTGATTTGAAATTCATGCAGTTATTCTTACTTAGAAATCAGCCATTGTAGATATTTTTACTTAGACACAATTAATATATTACTCAAAGAGAAGTCATACATATTTTTACTTATCACTTAGAAGTGATTTGAAATTCATGCAGTTATTCTTACTTAGAAATCAGCCATTGCAGATATTTTTACTTAGACACAATTAATTTTAGGTATTCTTACTTAGACAGAAGTGCTTTCAGATATTCCTTTAGAACCCTTCTCTGCCCTTCCTCTACCAAAGCTGTGTGGAAAACAGGCTTAAGGTGGACAAAGTCCACACTATAGTCATTCCACGTGGCGCATATCACCTCCACAGCGTGGGTACTCTGCTGCCTGTCAAATAAAGAGACTCGGTATAGAAATCCTCTTCAATTGTCTTCACAGAGAGCTGATGTTTATATTATCTTAACATTTTTACAGAAGGTTAAAGGTGAAACTTGACAAAAATTTATATAGAGATCATTTACTGAGATTATTTTTTTGTTTATCTGAATATCTGAGTGTATGATATGGACTGCAAATCAGTGATTTACAGGGTTTTGCACAACGTAAAGTCAGACATTGTATATTGATTTCCAAGAATTGAGTTAAATTTGCCTACCATTGTTTGGTCATGAGCTCCTCAAAGCATTTGATGTTTTTGAGGTCTATGAATACTTCTTCCAATATACAATTTGCCCTGCAAAAGTTCAGAAAAATATAATAAAAGCTTTCAAGTACATTTGCTTCTTTGAATTTTTTTTTTGCAACAAAACTAAAATGAGCAGTGTGGCATAATACAAGTGAATGTCGTAATTATTTCCCCTTATGATCATAAAATTTTCCATGATAATGTAATTAAATTAAATAAACCAAAGCACTTAAAATACACAAATCCAGTGTGAAATTTTACTTCTATACATTACCCAAAATTAGACTCATTGACTATTGGTAAATTAGTCTCGTCTGACTGTAATTTGTCATAAATAAGGTGTTTGATTGAACAAGACTATCATCAATCAATAATAAGAGCAAACTTTGTTTCCAAACCAAACCACAGTCTTTACTTAAAGTATAAAGGATTACAATGTTGCATTGTTTATTGAACAATTTATTTTAGAAATGGTTAATAATTTTATTAAATACACATTGCAGTAGATAACAATATTCCAGTAAAAAAGCTTTCTTTTGTTTGATATCCAGTTTTAGCTTTATCTTCCAGTAAAATGGCTGTATTTTTGTTTGATATACAGTTTTAGTTTTATCAAATTGTTTAAAACAAACTGCTTTGAGACTTTGTATTGGACCCAAACTCTCATCAAATGAATTTTGTATGTTTACCAGATACAAGAACAATTTTAAACAAATCTGAAATATTCTATGATCTTTTTAATTCAAATTAATATATAGTATACACATAAAGTATGAGCAAAATTATCATAGGGACTTCATACACTGTATATGTACTTGTTCTCTGGGACAAGATGTGACTGAAATTTGTAATAATCCTTGAATAGATTGATTGCAATTGATTCAACTGTTTTTATTGGTAAATGTGTGAGATTTTTTTTCTGTACTTTGTGAGACGGATCATCCTTAAAATCCCACATAAGTATACCATATACCTTAATGAGCTGAAGAAGCTAAAATAGAAACCCCTCTTCATACCGTCTGTTACACGACATTTTCAATTTTCACTCCCAACAATTTTTTTATAACTCTGCCTATAGCAAGTGGTGATATCTTAAGAACCTTCTTATCTGTAATATTTTCTTACTTCACAAAATGAGTAGATGACTTCATATTCTCATTCAGTTGGCACAAAGATGTTGTAATACAAGCATGAAAAGCTCCTTGACTTATCTTGAGGTTAGCAAAGTAACTGTTTTCCAGCCTACTCAAATATGTTGTCTTGCAAGATTTGATAATTTGGACAGGGGCAGACAAATTTCAACCTCCTTAACACAGGTTAACCCAAAGTTGCTTTAAATTAATCAGCATTATTGTTCTGGAGGACATTGAAAAAAAAAGTTGGACCAACAAACTTCTATCAGACCTTTAGCTCAGATAATGGAGCAGAAAACCTACCCAAAACTTCCTATCCTGTTGAACTCGTCGGTGAGTACCTGGAATCGGTCCTTTCTGATATAAATGTGTTCATCCTTGTTGTCGAGTTCTTCCTTCAGGTAGCGCTTCCTCAGCTGAGTCATGTATTCTCCAAACGCTATACAGTTGTTAGTGTTGGCAATCTAAAAATAGGACATAAAATAACATACAATACATCAGCTGAGTCATATATTCTCCAAACGCTATCAGTTATTAGTGTTGGCAATCTAAAAATAGGGTGTAAATACAACATACGATCAATTAATCTAAACATATACAAAGGGACAAGTTGTGTAATCTCCATTATCTACTGTTCATTGTTACATCACTCCCTCTGAACACAAAGCAAGCTACCAGGGTGATTCAAGTATAAAAGTAAAATTATGTAATTTAAAGCTTATTGTATGATTATTATTAATTCCATTGTCCTTTTATTGGAAGGAACATTGTCTTTTTATGACAATTATCATCGATATGTCGAGATATTTTTGTCATTATTAAAAAAAAATGAAAGTAACTTCATCTAAACAAATTTTAACAGCAAATACAGAGTAAGTTTCAATGATTTATACATGTAGCTATTTTCATTCAGAACTTTTTCAAATATACCATGTAATGCAGGAAGAATTTGGGAACACTTCTGTCCTGGAGATGTCTCTCCTTATAGCTCTGAATGGCCCCTAGCAGATAGAAGAAAATAGATTGATGTAAAACCTCATATAGGTACTGTATTTTTTGTTTTATTTAGTATGTTCAGACAATTTCACATAATCAGTTTTGCTAATATACTTTATAAACTTACCATAGAACTCATCTTTTGATATATAGTAAAGGAGAACAAAGGCCCATGGGCTACAATACCCACCCGAGACCCCTTGAGCCCAAGTTCCTAATCATATAAGATATTATTATTATTATATACCTACCTTTATATTTTTTGGCACAGAGTATTAACTATAAGTACATGTATATTTTACCTTAAAGTTTAATATACTCTAGTGATTTGGAAATTAGTATATTTTATTTTTTACCAACCATTAAATTCTATAATATAGTCATAATTGTTTGCTAGATATACCTATATTTTACCTTTATATTCCTTGGCATAGTGTGCTAGTTCATCTGTAAATAATTCTATGACTTTTTTAACCATATCTTCTCCAATCATTTGGGCAACTTGAAGCTAAAAAAAATGAAGTATAGAAAAAAACTCCTGTCTGTGATATTTAATCTGTAATTGAATCTCAGAAGCCTGCCTGGTAACCTTTTATTTTAATGAGAAACATAAAAAGAATGTTTTCTCTCATCTGAAATGTCATTGACAGTTTATTAAGTAATAGTTTCTTTGTTAGAGAAATATTTTGACAAAAATAGTAAAATTTTTTCTGATATCCTATTGTCTGTATTTCGATATTAGGTTAACCAAAGTCATGTAATTATTGTGAAATGTTAATAACTGAATGGTACTATGAGCATCATGCATACAAGTTTGAAGGTTCAATTAAAGCTTACAGCTACTTGGAATTGCCAAGTATAGCAAAAGCTTAATAATTGTGACTTGATAGAGTTTAGCTAAAAATCTTACTTTTAATCTTAAAAACATGGTCTCTTCATGAAATAGAAATGAAATCAGCATTGATTTCAAATGCTAGTACATGTATTAAATTTCTGTTTGGTGCAGACTAACAACTTCTCCCAGTACTTCTGGGATGGTCTTACATTCTGCTCCATCATCTGGAATATGATGACTGGCAGCGAGGTGGAATAATATCCGTCTCCGTCAGCGTCAGGGTGTTCATCGCGATACCAGTCCTGAAATCAAGCATTAAAATATCCAGTGACAATTTACTCAACACAAACTGGAACCAGGAAAACAATAAGGTTATTCAGTAAAGCTTTTATGACTTCATTTGTATATCGTGTCATGTATGCTGAGCTAGCTGATCCATTTAAAATAACAATCATAGTGACGGAATACATTTTATTTATTAACATAATTTTCCTTTATTTTTCAACCAAAAATAGCATAGATACTTAAATCTAACCTCCGACATGTGGCTTGTGACTTAATTCTGGCCTTTCGCATGCGTCAAAATTTGAATAAGCTTTGCTTAGCGTTCACACTACATTGCTTCACACCAATATATCATTTTGTCATGAAGCGTTAATACATCCTAATTTTAAAATTCTCAAAATTAAATCCATTTTTTAAATGGCTAATAATGACTTTGTTGTTCTTAAAAGAGATGTTTTCCTTTATCCTTTTCACAGCAGTATCATAATAAACCATATATAAAAAAAGATTCATACAGCCAAGGGTAATTTCCTGAGAGACAGCTTCAACCTAGTAAATCCTAAAGTTTATAAAAATCAGGTTCATATAGCCAAGGGTGCTTTACTCTAGAGCAGCCAAGGATTTTGCATGAAATCCTAATATTCAGAAACATCTTATGAATTTTAGAACAGATATTTGAAAAATCAAATGAGTTTTCTTGCAAATCTACGTGAACCACATGCTTATTAGAAAAAGTGTAGGCATAAACATCATTTAATTTTCTTTTTAAAAAAAATCGATTAAGAATTGCATCATCAATATTTTGCAGATAATTCAAAAAGCTCCATATATTACACTATCCTCAAGGACTTCAAGATTTTCAACAAGTATGTTTATCTTTTTTGAGGCAAGACTACAATATTGTTTTTCAAACAACAACCAAATCATGAGTTTACATATGTAACAGCTGTTTTTAAAACGTTTCATAAGCAGATTGAAGCATTTATAAACAAAGGTTGACATGTAATCAATATATGTTTGAATACCTTAGATCTGTTTCAATTACATCAAATATCTACACTGTAATGTAATCACTTATAGAAAAAAAATATGACTCTTGAACAACTGTGTCATATTAATTGGTAAATGTATGAAAAGTATGGAATATACAGCTAGAGGAAAATAATATGACTTGTTCTATATCTTGTGGATATAATAAAGGTTTTTAATATCAGGTTTATTACATATTATGTTATGTAGTGCAGCTTCAGAAGTGCCTGGAAGTCAGAAGGATAATTCTGATTGCCTAATATGGCTTACCCTACTCCAGGAGGTCTTGATTTAAGTTTTCTAAAGATTTCTTCTTTTGCATTCATATGTAAAACTTTGATCCCCCACTGTGGCCCTTCCAACCCCAAATTTCATGATTTAAAATTAAACTGAATCTATACAAAGAATGTACCACCTATTAAGTTACTACTTTTCTGACCAAGTGATTCTTGAAGAAGATTTTGAAAAATGCCAATTTTAGCTTCCACCTGGGGTCTGGTTTCTTGGAAGGGGGACATGAATTTAATAATTTCGTAGAGTGTAAAATGACCTTTATAAAAAAGAAAAAAAAATCTATTACTTGGTGTCATTTTTAATTTTTTTTTTTTTATTAAAGAAAAGTCCAATACCAAAGAGAATTGGTAATTCTGTTTAAAAAAAAAAACATTCAAGTAAATGGAATTTGGAAATTTGTAGACATTCTGTAATTACTTATCTTTTCTTGAAGCTTTAATTTGTAACTAAAACAAATATTCTTGATCGAAAATTACAGTATTTGGGTTGTTCCAATACCAATTCTACTTCTTTTTTATTTTTCACACAATTTAAAGATTTTACTTGATCTTTTACGGAAGCTTTATTACTATACTGTACAAAAATATCTTTGGAAATTAAGAGACAGTACTTGGATTTTAGCAATTCAATTTTAAAACTTTTTTATACATTTTTAAGATTTTTTTTCTCAAGATTTATATTAATATACCTTGAAAGTCCTTAATAAAACTCAGGTTGATAAGGTCATCATACATGCATCAGCCTCTAGCATGAACTTTTAATTATATTTGTTTATGTACCAAGGATAACATTCAATCAGCAAACCTATTTTTTACATGAAAATATACCAGGAGAATGCTAAAACTGTCACATCATGTGACAGGTGGTCTCTTTAGGCAGAGAATCATATTCTACCAATTAATATTTATAACTTTTGAATCATGATAAATAAAATATTGTCAATAAGTATTTGTTCATAATTATTGCTTTTATTCCTCAGTGCTCTAAGTTTAGAAATTATACAATAGGTTTAACTTATTTTAAACGTTTCACACTTTTCTAAGAGAGTGTTAAGGATAAGCACTATTCTTGACAAAATTATGCCCAAAATAGAAAAACAGTTCTGAAAGTAATTAAAGCAAATGCAAATGCAAAGAAATATTTTTTCTATTGCAAAAGCAAACAAAATTTTTATATACTTCTTGTTGATTCATTAAATGTAAGCTTAAGTTTATCTATATTACTTATATTCCTCTTCTAAAAATAAATTTCAAGATATTTTAGTGACATATTCCATTTATGTATTTGTTAATTCTGCAAACTGCAGACATCTTCTGCAGGGATGGGGGGGGGGGGGGGGGGGGGGTTAAGCATTTCATAAAATTTGCTATCAAAAGTCACCAAATTCAAGGACTTGAATTACTAGTACTTTAGGAAAGAAAATGATGGTTAAACCCTCTTAAGGGGCTCCGCTTTTAGCAAAGAACATTACAATGAAAGATACTTTATTCATGGGCTCTTTAGGGGAACTACTAAGTTCTAGCCAAAAGGAGTAATAGAGTTGTAAAGAGAGAAAAAAATTCTGGGGAAAACTCTGAAAAGAATTCTACAGAGATTTTGCGATGACCTTGACCACTTAAATTAAGTTCAGTTGGCTCATTAGGACACTGCACACTGTTTACATGTGGGCACACTACAGGGAAATTTGATCCTGGTTGGACTATGGGGAGAAAACATACTAAAATATACTAGGTTATAGCAAACAGGTTCTGTGTCCTGCAGAGGTGAAAGATAAGGATTTACATTTTTAAACAAATTTTTTAAGAACTGAAAATTTCAAATATTGAACTACAGTTAATTCTCGATAAACCGCCACCTTTTGTAATTTAGAAATCACTAACGAACGATGTGAATTTCCCTCTTTTTACAGTTACCGTTCTTAGAAATACCATTTAACGTTTTTATTCTTATTATTACATGTACATGTATATAAAAACATATTTCTAAATTTGAAAATACTTCAAGTTATTTTTTATGTACAATTTCAAAATGTGCAGTTCTGAAATAAAGACAAGTACATGTGGATGTATGTAAATCTGCATGTCTGATATTGAAAAAAAATATACTGGGTCGATTGTCGTGATATATTGCCGAAAGTACGTAAAATGAATTCTTGAATAAATTCATTCTTTATGGCATCATTGGTAATGAAACGTTCACAATTTATACCGTATAATTATTTTTAAAGCAAACTTTGCAAGGTTTAAAGCAGAGATCATCAAAATAATATCGTTACCGGCGTACTTTAATTATGACCGCTTTCGTGGTGAACCATGACTATAAATGATTTTTATTAAACAGAAAACAAAATTATTATAACAGTTCATGTTAAAATTATTGTTTATTTAATTCTTATTTAATTATTTAATTGCATGTACCTTGTCTGGCTTTGCATGCTTTACAACAGGATTGCATCAACCAATTAGCCGCGCTTCACTGACCACATGCACCTGTGGCGGTATATCGAGATAATTGACACTTAAAAATGGACCTTTGTTTTGAAAACAGGGTGGCGGATGGCGGTATGCGAATTTGGCGTTATAAAGAGAATTTTATATAGCAGGAAAAACGTTCTTGGGAAATCATGGCGGTATGGCGAAAATGGCGATGAATCGAATGGCGATAATTCGAGAATTGACTGTACATGTATTACATTATTTTTTGTTAGTATAATTATTTTTAAAAAGTATTTCCCTTACCTTTTGGTCTTGTGTCAATGAGTTTTTGGTCCATTCCATTATGTTTAACTTCATGTTCTTTAGATATCTGTAAAATGTATGCATTAGATATTTTTTTTTAATTTTGAAGGACTCTGAACCACATTTTTGTTTTGCCACAAGCATATACCATACAATTTTCAAAAAATGTCAAAATTGATTTTGTCCTTTATTTCTTATATAAAATTTGAATAGAATTAATGTGAAAAAGCAAGAGTTCAAATTTCTTGGCAAATTTCATAGAGATCAGGTGAAAATATTTTAAAAACATCTTGGAGCAAATGGAACATGCATTTACAGACCAAAAGGACAGAAAAAAAGACCATGACAAGGTCATTTCAAATAGTATTACAACTATGAAATAAATTCATTTGATAAAAGTTACATAAATTGAAAGATTGTGGCCATTTATCAAAGTCTTATTTCCATGGAAAAGCTTTTAAACAGTCAACCTTGTCTAACCCAGGTGTTGTGTGATTCAAAACCTTGCCTAATATGACATTAACTTAATCTCCCTTTCAGTGAACAGTAAATTCATTTGTTTAATGCTGCCTAACTCAGAATATTGTCTAATCTAGTCAATATGGATGGAACCAGTGGGGGCCAGGTTAGACAGGTTTTACTGTATATCTTTTCTAAGAGTAGTAATCAAGAGCAATAACTTAAAAGACACTGGTATTGGAATAAACAATCAATTACCAATGAAGCCTACAGGTAATTTGCATTCAACAAAACTTGATAAATTTTGTCTTTATATTATGTGCATGTAATGTGTACACAGGAATCTATGGAGTTTCCATGCATAGTTCTTTCATACTTTGTGAAAATCAGTTCATATATATTTGGATTTTAAACACATTGTAAATGATGTATATTTTTAATACTACCTGACGGAATAAAAATAACAGGATATTAAAACCTTCTCAAAATACTCTAAACCAGATATTAGAGATAAAAATTTTATTAACACACAGCTATGTTAAAATTTATCTGTGACATGTAAAAATCATGAATAATGTTTCCTGTTTCAGATGTCGTGTATGTCTTTTTGCGGCTTTTAATACTCATGACGCAAAGTTGCTTGTAAATCCAACACATATTTCTGCACCCACCCACACACTTTCCTTAACTATATACCTTATGTTTTGGTTTTGCCGGGCTCAAGAATTCAAGTGAATAAAATTTTTAGACCCCCCTCCTTGCTATTTATGCTAATTGTGCCATCATTTTACACTCAATCGAGAGGCCTATGAATGTACATTATTGAGAGATGTTAAATGAGAAGATATTTTCTCATTTAACATCTCTCAATAATGTACATTCATAGGCCTCTCGATTGAGTGTAAAATGATGGTACTTGAGAAGAAAAAACATAAGTTATCAAAGATTACGGAGCTCATCTCGACAAATAAGTAAAATAATATCACATCATGTTTTTTTGCTAGTTAGTGTGCATTCTAAGTTCAATATCCATTTCAGTTTGGTTTAAGTAGGACTTATAGTTACTTGGAAATGAATTTGCACCAAAAGCTTTATCCTGGTCACTCATCTGAAAAATGTAGGTCAGATCCAGCATCTGAAGCAAGTCTGGTAGTGTCCATCCCTAGATGCATCATCCTTGTAAGTTTGGTCTAGGTAGGGCTTATAGTTACTTGGGAATAGACTTGCTCTTAAACTTTAACAGGGACGTCGACACTAAAAATTAACACCAATGCAGGGAGTACAGCATAAGCTCATATCAACTTTGTCGAAGTGAGCTAAAAATGTGTACAAATTAAGAGAATGCCAAAAATAAATGTTGGTAAACTGTACAGTATCAAATCTTATGGATTCTGCTATTCACCTATCATGTGACATGAATGTGGTTAACATCAGTATTAAAGCTTACTGATTTTGTAGTTCATCTATGGCTGTGGTTTCTAACAAAGGACCAAATTCTTTGGTGTCAAAGTCCAACGCCGGGTGCCTCATAAGTTCAGGGGAACTGAAAAAAAGATTAATGACTATAAAATATGCACATAAAAAGAATACATAAAGTATTGTTATACCCTTATAAATAGCTTTCTATATATTTATTACTAATAAAAGTCCAACAAAAGAAATGTTTATTACATTGGTCTAACAATTTCACTGTTGACTGGCCTGCCAGTCCAACATAAAAATTGTTAGACTGCAACGTCACTGCTAGTCACAAGTAATTTTAAAATCACCGTTCAATATCGGCGACATGGAAATAGCCGAAGTTAAAAGCCGCAAGAGTTGTTGCTACCAGCAAGGCAAGGAAAAAGGGAAGAGTATGTTTTGTGATAAATAATTTTTGTGATATAATAAAAATATAATTAATTTTGTTCTTTCTAAGCTATTGTTTTATATTTACTGATTAAGCCATAATTTTCCATATAAAGTAATTGGTAATATAGTGTGTATTGATTAAATCTTAAGTGAGCACTGAAGGGTATAACAAAACAGTTATAGACTGGGATTCCGGCAACATATGATTTGTTGGACGTTGCAACATTTTCAACTTCAGGTCTGACAAATCATATGTTGCTCTCATACCCAGTCAATAACTGTATACTGTTATACTGTTATTCAATTTCATTCCTAATATTTTTTCTGTGTAATTATGAAATATGCTTGTGAAAGTTTCATTCTCACAAATATATACTTCAGTAAAACTCGTTTAGTACGAACACGGATATTGCGAATTCACAGATAGAGCAAAGTTACTTTGGATCCCCAAGTATATATATTTAATGAATTTCTTATATGAATACATATAACGAATTACGAATGTATAGCGAAGTAATATCTTAGGTCCCAGTGACTTTGTTATAACCGAGTTTTACTGTAACTGAATAAAGAATATATTATGCACCAATGATCAACATTTGCAATTTTTTTTAAAGATGCTTTCTCATCCGTACAATAGACATGTATGTCACAAACAGGAGTCTAAAACATGCATGATCATACATATTCCCAGGGGTTACATTTACTCAAGTCTGGCTAACACTCAACATTATAGCTTTTTGGGGAACTGAAAAGGAGACTCACTGGTAGCTTGGTTGTGGTTTAAGCCTTTAGCTGGATTGCTTAGCACTAGACACAGCAGCAAGCCTGAGGTCCAGATTTCAATTCAAAACACAGAACTGACACAAGAGTCTCTCTATTTCACATTAAAATGTTCAGCCACTACATCATCCAAAGCAAGATACCCATTCTGTGTGATTTAGCTTATGCAAGGCTGGTCAATAATCAGGACTCATGTCTATTCCAAAGGCTCAATTTTCTTATATCCAGAAAATCTTTATATTATGCTGAGTTTCAAGTATATAAAATATTTCATCAAGTTTGTTACCATCAGGAATGAAATCAATTCAAAACTAATAATCAGATGTCTAAAACATTAATGTATCTCCACTTCTTTATCATTTTGGGCATTATTTTAAAACATGACAGAGCATTTCACACATTAGGTGCATGGAGACTCACTTGTAAATCCCCACCCACTGCAGAAGGGTCACGATTTCATTTCCTTCTAGCCCTTGCTGGATCATATCTTGAAACTAAAAAAAAAAGACATTCTCTTGAAAAATTAAACACCTCTAAGACTTTTCAAAAGTTGGGAAGAAAAATGAGCTTGCATGAGTACAATGATTTCACTTCCAGTAATAAGAGGCCTTGGGCTAGTTTGATTTATCATTTACTTGAATCACAAAGCAAATTTTTCCAAAATGACACATGTATCAAATTAAAATAACTTTCTCCAACTTTTTGAAATTTTTCCAACATTTGACAAAATGGCAATATTTGAGGGACAATGAATTGTTTACAGTATAAAACATATGTACTTACATGATTGGACAAGGCTTTATGATACATCTGAACATACTTTCTCACAATGTTATATTCTGGTGGGAAAATAGGTGGCAGCATTTGCTGTAAATAAGCAAAAAAAAAAAATCTTGTAAGGTGTAAACAAAAGGCATGTGAACAACATTTACTCCAACTTGATCAGATGTAAAGGACACAAAACAGACATTAGACTGTGGGAGTCCATTGCCAGTTTCATTAATTATTCCTTGTGGATGTTCTCGTTGAATGAGTATTATTTAAAGGTTACTGTCAGAATATCAGAAACAAAATGTCACCTAATGTCTCTGAGCAATAAAACCAGTATCAGGAGTAATATACCTCAAGAAAGGACAGAAAATCATTGTTACATCACAATCACGAAAGTAGTCCCTGTGCATTTACAGTGAGGACAGATACAGCTCTGTAGAAGCCCAGGTTCTCTCTACAAGACTCTATAAATGTATTAAAAGTACAAGTACAGGTAAAGTTTGAGACTGACTGGACTTATGGGAGGGAAATTATGCACTGAACAAAGATTTTAAACAGAGAGGTTATTTTTACCTTAACCCTTGACCTAGAAACCTTGTTCAATGTCACTTCACATCCATTGAACTGTGCCACTCTGTGAGTGAAGTATGAGCCACATTGGACCAAAGGGAGAGAAGATATGCTTCGGAAATGATTTTTTTTTTTACCAGTATATAATTCTGCTATGACCTTAACCTTAGACCTAGAAAAATGGTTCAAGGTCACTGGACACCATTTACCCAAAGGCACTCTATGGGTGAAGAATAAGCCAGACTGGGCAAAGGAAAGAGAAAATATGCTATGGACAAGAATTTAAACAGAGGCTATTTTTGACCTTGATCCTTGACCTAGAAACCTCATTCAAGGTCACTGCACATCCAATGACCAAAGAGTGGCACTCTGTGCATAAAGTATGAGCCACATTTGAACTAGGAGAGAAAAGAGATTTTGCGGACAAGGATTTTTTGTACAATTCTGTTATGACCTTAGACCTAGAAACATGGTTCGAGGTTACTGCACACCCTTTACCCAAAGACACTCTGCATGTGAAGTATGAGTCGGATCGGGTAGAGGTGAGAAGATCTGAACAAAAAAACTCAGATGGACAGAAGGATGGAGACAGACTGATCCCTATATGGTGTCTGCAGAGCCACCCGAATTATCTAACAAGGCAATTTAGCTAGAATATCACAGACTACATGTACAATGTATCTCTAAACATGTATCTTATTAGAAATATATATGGTCCATTTACTTCAGCACAATGAGATTTTCAAAGACAATATCTAACCACCTAGAAAATTTTCCACCTATAGAAAATTTGGGAAAATTTGGGAAAAAACATAAAGTCAATTTGTGTGAACTTCGATAATATGCACACTTTCCATATTAGGAAAATATAATTGCACATACAGACAAAACCTAGAGACCAATCAATCAATGATCATCAAATCTTCTAACTATTAAAACCAGTCTTTTTATAATTGACCTTTATGCCCTGTTCACACGGAGAATTTAATTCGAATTAAACGTAAAGTTACTGCGAATTAGCTTTGCTTAGCGTTCACACGGAGAATTTAATGCGAATTAGTTTAATTCGAATTAATTTACTGCGCATTAAATTACTTCGCATTAACTCCGTGTGAACGCTAAGCGAAGCTAATTCGAATTAAATTTTGACGCATGCGTAAGGCCAGAATTAAGTCACAGGACACGTGTTGGTGGTTATATATAGGTTTTTGTGCTATATTTGGTTCAAAAATTGAGGGAAAGTATGTTAATCACTAAAATCAATGAATACTTGTAGCCACTACATGATGTATCAAACGATGGCTCTGCATACATGACGTGATTTACAAATGACGTCATAATAGACTTACTGACGCCTGACTGTAGAAGAAAAAATTTAATTCGCATTAGTTTACTTCGCATTAGCTGTCGTGTGAACGCAATTTAATTCGCATTAATTTGATTCGCATTAGTTTACTTCGCATTAATTTACTGCGAATTAAACTCGTCGTGTGAACAGGGCATTAAAATGAAAATGTTTTCAGTCCTTTTTTTAATAGTAATACTGTGTATTCCTACCTTCACTACTTTAAGGTCCTCCAACATCAGTTGTCTGGTAACCTCAAGATGGCGAACCAGCCACATTTTGTTGATACTTCGGTCTTCAAACTGATTACCTTCAATTCTGTCAATGAGAAAATGTTCAACACAATAGGTTTTGGTCATAAAATAAAAAGCTATTATAAATGATTGCAATAAAATGAAAGACAATCAAAATGGTGTACATTTGAAATGAACTTAAAAAACAGACTTTTGATCCAACCAGAAAATTCCCATGCAAATGCAGATGAGCAAGATTCTAATCAGAAAAAAAACTCTGAACTTTCCAATGATTCAAAAAGCAGTTTGAACTTTCAAAACTCACATGACATCTATGCATGATGATCATGATAGTGAAGTTATGATAACCAAGTTCATATGTATACTATATGTACAGAGGTGGAAAATAGAAATTAATGCTGTAATTTGAGATTGCTGTATCAAACTATTCACCTTGAAGAAATAGATTCTTCCAAAATCCTGAAACATTTTTCTCTCCACTTCTTTGGACGACCTGGAGGTATAAATCCCGTCTGGGCTTTCCGCTTGAGGTAAAATTCATCAGTTCTGAAATTAGAATTTTGATTGGATATAAAATCTAATATTTACATTTCCATTTCTTTTTCTTTAATATTCCTTACAAATTAGAATTTTGTTTATTTTCTCAAGAACTACCATGGATGAGTATGGATATCGCCATTGTTACATCATAATACCGCACTTGACATGAAAACTATAGTGCAAACATTTCTGCTTTAAAAATAACATTGGATGGCGAAAATTTGCAGCAACTTATCAGAAAAATAATGTAAATATAAGACATGAATTTAATTTTTGAAGATTCATGAGGTATATGAACTACAACACTTCAAGCCGTCATATTTATCATGAAATATGCCATCGTGAAGCGTCGTACTTCATAACCTCATGAATCTTCAAAAATTAAATTCATTTCTTAATTGATCTTATGCCAAAATGTCATGTAATTTTATTTAAAAAAATATATAAACCAGAAGTCTCTATACAGTTGAAAATGGGAAAAATTGACAGATGGAAGGACGGACAGACAGTCAGTCTGAGGATGATGGACATCATGGTGATCAGAAAAGCTCACTTGAGCTTACAGCTCAGGTTTAAATTAGCTCAAGTTAGGTAAAAATGGTTTACAGACAGATGGACAGCTACACAGACGGACGTATGATGGACATCTTACTATCACATAGGCTAGCTCTTATGGTCTCTGACCGGTAGAGCTAATAAAAAATTTTACCGATTTTAAAAAGAGAGATACAGTTTTCATGAAATACACCCTGGACATTACCCTGTTTTGGCTTTTGTACAATTCTTTTGCCATGTTCACACTGAAAGTTTAATGTGCATTATAAAATTAATGCGAAGTAAAATAATTCAAATTAAATTGCATTCACATGACAGTTTTCATGAGATACACCCTGCATGGTCATTACCCTCTTTTGGCTTTTGTACAGTTCTTATGCAGTATTCACACCAAGAGTTTAATTCTCAGAAAATTCATGCGAAGTAAAATAATTCAAATTAAATTGCATTCACATGGTGTGAAGAATGTTTGAAATACTAAAACTAGCCTAAAATCGCACTTACCTGTTTAACCCGAAATTCCTTTGACATTATGTAAACTAAAACAGGAAATTTCACCACTTTTGACTTTGAATATTATTAGAACTCATAATATACTAAGATATTCTAACTATGGATCATTGTTCTTACATTATAAACAAAGAATTCCTCAACTAGACTGCTGAACATCATTGTAAATATTCAAATATTGAAGCAAGGCGAACTTTCAAGACTTCAATTCGTGAAATAAATGCAGTTTTACTTTGAATTTATTTGTCTCAAATGTAAATATAAGTGATAAACAACAGTGTTAAAAAGTTCACTAGGAAATGAACTTAGCTGGTACATGATCAAATCAACTGAGAAGCCCTTCAGGCTTCACAGGATTTCCTCAATCTTAAACCACTGAGTGAAATTTAATGAAACTTTGACCAACTAAGTTCATTTCCCAAATATTTTGGGTTTCCCGGCCACCGCAAAACAACTTTTTAACATTGTAGTTTATTTCTTAATAAAACTAATTTGCATATTAAATTCTTCATGTGAATGCAGTTAAAATTTAATACATAGTAAAATATGTTTAAATTGAATTAAATTATCCGTGTGAACAGAGCCTTTATCTTCTCATACTTGTAATAGGCCTGAACCCTACCTGACTAGGAGTTTATAAAGAGAATATTGCATTATTATGATGGTTTTGGCCAAACCCTTCATGTCCCAAAATGACACAGACCATGAAATTCTTATATAGAATAAGTGTTCTTTGTACAAGTAGTTAACAGGAAATACTAAATCCAATCTATAATTTATATAGCACTATGATTTGGCAACATTACAGAATAAAAATGTCATTTTTACCTGGAAGAACAAAATTGTTAAGATTTGCACCTTGAATACAGGTATGCTAAAAATCATAAACTAGCTGTTAACAATTTTCAGGGCAATATCAAGAAGATAAAATGTCATTTTTTAAATAGGAAAATAAAATGGTTAAGAATGTTACCTAGAAAAACAGGTTTGTTAAGAATTATAAACTGTATACAAAAAAAATATAATGAGAGTGTTTTGTTAAATGAATAGAAGCATGTGCTGCCTATAATTTTCTTTCAGCCATAATCTGAATTACCCTTAGAATACTTCATAAAACACTTCATACCAGATTATATGTTTGATGTAAATTTATGCACGGGATGGTTATCAATTCAATAGAATATTAATTTCAATCATACATACACCGGTACCCACCTCACATGCATCATCTATATTGTCTCACATGCATTTTTACAAAAGGTGTCAAACACCAATAGTGTGAATACTATGATCACATTTCTTAACTATAACTCTATTTCATTACACTTCTATTAATACTACATTTTATTATATACCTAATGTGTATCACTCAATTTTACTGTTGATTTTACGCTCTCACGTGACATCGTGATCCGACTCACCACACTGAGCCTCGTCGGATAGAAATCAACCTTATCGTATGCAACGTCATAATGAGAAAGAAACGAATAAAGTTAAGAAAGCTTCCCAGTATTTTTACTGCACATGGTTTTCACGTTAAGGAATGTTTTAGACATCATCAACTGCAGTTCAAAGATTTTTTCTTTAAAAAATCGGATCATTTTAAATATGTCCTAATAAATTAAACAAATTTAAATGTATTCCCCTTCGTGCAGCCTTAAATTTTTTATTTTTACCATGGATCAATGTAAACACAAGCCAGAGGAATGCCGAGTCCGATCTATGTTTATTTTTTTCAAACAGCAGAAGACGTGAGGTAATATCTAACACCAGATAAAAATTAAGTTGGTAGACAAAAACCAAAGAAAAATTGACATGGTGCTTTACTAAGGAAGTACAAAATATATCTTTTTATCGTAGTTTAGAGTATTTTTAGCTAAAGGAGGCGTATCGGGCACAGAAAATCGCATATGTACTGAGTTGTGAACTTCATTAATAGCATCGTGTGTATTCATTCACTCAAGATTAAATTCACAATATTATATTAGATATATTATAATGTTTCATGCCATCGAATGGATTTACGTGTAATGATGTCAAATTTATATAGGAATTAACCAACCAAAACAAAAACAACATTAGGCCTATCAGTATGACTATTTGAAGGTATTCATCAACTTTCAAAACACATTTTTCTAACTACAGTATTCAAAGATATCAGGAAACTAGTAAAACCGGCTCTGTAGTTTTTCCTGTACATTCATCCAGAAAATGTATGTCAGATCCAGCATCTGAAGCAAGCATGGTAGTGTGCAACCTTAGATAGATGTATCATCCATGCAAGTTTGGTCAACATTAAGCTTATACATGTAGTAACGTAAGATTGAAGCTGATCCAAACATTTCAACTGTTAATCAAGCATCCATAAAATGTAGGTCAGACCAAGCATCCATAAAATGTAGGTCAAACTGAATATCTATAAAATGTGGGTCAAATTAAGTATTCACAAAGTGCAGGTTGACAGATCAAGGATCCATAAAATACAGGCCAGATCAAGCATCCACAAAATCTAGGTCAGATCAATTAAGCTTCCACAAAATGTAGGCCAGATCAAGCATCCATAAAATGGAGATAAGATCCAACATCCAAAGTAAGTCCCTAAATCCCTAAATGCATGATCTGATCCATGCAAGTTTGGACCAGGCATACGTAATCAGTATACCTTCATCCAGAAAATGTAGGTCAGATCCAGCACTGAAGAATCAACATACACGCAGTAAAGTCATGCAACCATGGCAGGGCAATAAGTAAGGGTTATTAATGAGTAATTAATGAGAGTTATTAATGATTAATGAGTAATTAATGAGAGTTAATTATGAATAATTAATGAGAGTTATTTAGCCCTGCTATGTCACTTTTTAAGGTTTCATCCAAGAGACTAGTCTTGCAATTCTCAAATCTAAGTTCCAAGCTCCAAGCAAATGAACATATAACTACAGCTTACTCCACTTATATTGAACTCGCTTATTTTGAAATTCCAGTTATTTTGAAATAGAAATAAATCCCCAGTTTTTGCCTCTAATATTCTTTGCATTAAAATAATGGTTATATTGAAATCGGATATATTGAAATTTCGCTTATATTGAAGCCACTGATCGGTCCCCACAGATGATAATGAGTTGTTTTCATAACGGTTATATTGAAGTACTCCCTGGCGGCTGTCGTTACGGTTGGTGACAGTAATTATGCCTGATTGACCAGCTGATATACAAAGGTGTGAATAATTAAGTTTTCACCTTATGTGTTTTTATACTGCATGCTCTTACGAAAAAAAATCTTCACTGTTAAATTCTTTGCGTTCACGTATATAATACGGACATATCGAGACTAAACAGCTAAACGTAATATAGTAACCCCCACAGATCTAGGAAAAAACATAACTTTGAAATTAAATACGAACTGTTAATGGCTATTGATATGCCTACATTCGAAATAACTAAGGTATTCACCCGAATACACTTACGATGAAATACAAGCAGCGTTCAGCAGTACTCAACCTTTTATTAAGTCCGGTAAATTATCTCCACAACGTAAATAAATGCGATCGGGGGAAAATAATGAGGGGTGAAGATTGTCTTTTTCAATGAAACAGAAATTAAAAAAAAAAAATTTCAACCTCATATTCTATGTAATCTGTTCACTGTCATAGATAAACGATGACAAATAAATTTGTTTGGGTTTGTTCTTCTTTATTTAAGATCGGGATTGAACTTGTAAAAATGGCGGCTTCACGATTTCGCTTATATTGAATTACGGATATATTGAAATAATTTGCATGGTCCCCTGAATTTCAATATATCCGGAGTAGGCTGTACATATTTTTTACAGGTTTGACTTTTTGCAGATTGGGACACAAACTCACATCTTCTTTCTACAAAGTTAAAACTCTGAGGATATGGTCGTGATAGCTAGTTCATTATTCCAACAAATTTAATTTTTTT